AAGTGGCGGTGGAAAACCCTTTGTCCAGGGGTGGACACACACACACACACCAACGTGGACAGCTGATGAGTACATATCCTCTTTTTCGTATATATACCGGCATGCCGCCCCGCGGAGATTGTTCCAAAAGAACTGCATGACTGTGTTGGTGCATCTGGCTGCAGGGGAACTGCCTGCTTGCTTGGAAATTGGCCGAAACTAGGGCATCGCACATCTGGTATACTAGGGTGAACCGCTAAACTTGGCGCACCAGGGCATCGCTGAGTTGAGACGACTCCGTTCCACAGATGGGACCTTGGGACACTCAATTCGTCCACTCGAATGATGTGCTTATGGGCGACAACGCCATTTCTTCGCCCAATTCGTCAGAATATTGACACTCCCGAAACAATCATGGGTCCTACAACACCATGGGTCATGGGTCCTTTCACTGGGTCCCAATAATTAATACTAAGTGACTGAGTGGAAAACCACCACCTCTCGAGGCCTGGAGAAAAGAGCGTTTCTGGCTCCACGTAACGATTATTTCAAGGGAGTGTCACCATCCAAAATGGATGTCACCTCTGGGTATACTGGGCGTCGCTGCTGATCTGGGCTTGAAGGATGAAGAAGGGGAACCGTTTTTGAACATGGAACCCCTCTAAAGCTGATTGAGATGTGGATTTGTTGCTTGGTCAATCAACCCAAGGCACAAGAATGGTACGTTTGGGAAACAACAGTATTTTAGATTTACCTCAAGAAACCCTGCAACAAAATACCGTTCTGTCTTGTGGCGCATGTGTCACAGAAGCGTCCGTTCCCAACATCCGACTTCTTCATCGTGCCAAGACTTAGCATCCGACACTTCATCCGCTTCCAGTGTTGTTGTTCGACCCAGTTCCAACCCACAGACAGATCTCTCCACTTCGACCCCTCCACAGATCCACAGAACGACCGACGTAGTCCGGCCGAACGCCTCGGCCGAGATCAAAGACCTCCTCTCCTTCGGCTTCATGGATCCTCCACCCCAGGCCCTGTGGAGCCTGACCTAGCTTTCGAGCTATTTTGCAGTTTTTGTTTGGTCCAGAGTGTTTTCATTGTTTTGCTCCGGCATTGTTTTTGTCGTTTGGTGGCCTGGGATTTGCTGGAGAAAAGCTGAGAAACAGTAGTGCTGATATATTTAAACTGGTTGTTGTTGTTGTTGCCGCTGCTGCTGCTGCTGCTGCTGTTTTTGTTCGGTGTTGGCTTTTAACGTTACCATGGCCATACCGGGCCATGTTGTTCTTGTGATTTATATATATATAATACACGTTGCTTCCAATAGCCGCTTTGTTATGGTTTGTTTATGACTTGTGATAATGTTCAACAACTCAATACCTCACTGTACTGTAATTCAGTGTAATTAGAAAGCTGCTGCTGTTGAAGGTGTTTTACCTTTGCGGCCGACGAAGAATAATCGATCTCAGCATCTCGACCATCCTCGATCCACAGGACACCATCCTGAACTCCTTATTCCAACTTTGGATGCTGGGCGCGCTGGACAATCTGGGTGTATCTCGACTGAGCGTGTTTTAGAAGGGAAAAGGGCCAAAAGGGAATAGGTCCTTCAAAGTGTTTTTTGAAGTTCCAAGGCAAAGACCCCTCAGTCGCGAGAGGAGACTTCTGGTGGTAGGATATTGGCTCTGAGGGGGGCCTTCGATTCTAGTCATGTTAATTTATCCTGTTGGCCAACTTGGTAATACTTTATTTTATAGTTAACGTTTTTGCAAGCATCGCATGTCGACTGCAGCCCTTTCCTAAAGGAGTGGTTCCCCTAGAACATCTACAGCAACAGGTCATGAGAGTCATGAGACGAGCATCACAATTCAACAAACTTGGCAATTGGATTCAATTTGCACGCCGATCAGCTCACCTAACTTCAGAAAGCACCAATCCCCATGAATTTTCCGAGGAGTCATGGGGAGTCCTTCACATGTCCTTCACCTGAGGACATCACCAAGCTCGGGAATAAGATGGCCCAGTTTCCGCTGGCCGGGGACCTTGGTCCACCTTTCGATCAGCCGAGCTTCGATCAGCGGAGTCCTTCGGTGTCCAGGCCAGGAGCGACAAGAAGTCGCGAAAGACGGCACGGATTCAAAGGCATTTTCCAGTTGTGATACAAGGGTGTCCAGTCCCTATATGAGTGGATCATCGTGGATCATGGGCGCCCCTTTGTGACTGCGTTTCGTGTGTTTTCTCACGATGTTGGGCCATTCAACGTCCAAAGCTTCCGATAATTGCGCCAAGCTTCGTCATCAGTTTCGTCATCAGTTTCTTAGTTTACTCCGGTTTTCTGATGAAACCACTTGATATACGACAGCACCCACACTTACCAAGTCCGAGTGTGCCTTGATGTCGTGTATTGATCTTAATTTTGATCAGCTTTGCACACGGAATCGCACAAAAATTTTGGACTTCAACAACCTGCAGTGGCAGAGTTGCTACCAACACTGGCAGACCCCACCCTTCCTTCAGGCCCCTATTTTCTCCACCTTCAAGTCGCTCCCAAATTTTCGGCTTGGGGATTGTCAATGCATGAGCTAACATGAGCTAACTGGAAATTCCTTGTACAATTTGTGCCTTGCTTCAGAGGTGAGTTTCTCTCCGCCACGTATAATCCATGGGAATCCTTGACTGTTGATACCATCTTGACATATCTCGACCATCTCCCAAGTCTCGATGACACCACGTGGAAACAAAAGTAACAAGAATTGATCGCAACCAGAGCGTTTGAGACATCCCAAAGACTCCCAAAGCTTCGATCTCGAAGATTTATTCGGACTGCTGTTTTTGGCACCAAACGACCCGCAGTTCGCCCCCAACCCACGTTGTTTTGTTTGGGCCAATCAGTATACATCAGAGTACCGTATTCCGATCGATGCTTTCGGGTGCGGCCAACATGGCTCCAAGCCTCCGACACTGCCACGTTATGCATGGACCTTTGGTGGATGGCTGGATGGAGGCAGCCACCCAGCAGTCCCTAAAGGATGATTCGGGCTGCTTTCATGTTCATTCAATCTCAATCAATCCTTATAGATTCCATGCAACCTATAACTGCGGGGTGGATGGCACCATTTGCTCGGTCTTCGGATTTCATGGTCATCCGAACTCCGGGCCATGCGTGATATACGAAACCATGAATTCTCTCGAGGAGTGTATATATACTATATTTCATTGGTCCGTGGGTGAGGTAGAAAACATCACCTGGCAAGAGCGGAATCTTCCAAAACAACATAAACAAATCTCCTTCTAGATTCATTGGGAGGGCACGCAGGTTAACCAATCAATTGTTGTTTGTTGGGAATCCTTTGCGCAAGGTCCAAAAATTTTGAGTTGTTTCAGCGAGTGAAATGGCCTGTAACTCCAAATGTTTTTTGTGGTTCCCAGTACCTGCTTTACTTCAGCTGCTCAATGCCGTGTCCTTTCCCAAGTGGAAGGATGCAGCGTGCTATTCTGTGGAATGCAGGAACCTTTTGAACCTGTTTGAAGTGCCTTTTTTGAACAGTTATGGGAGGCCCAGTCTCCGGCCTTGCGGCGCTGTCGTTGTCCCAGACTAGTCAAGGTTGCCAAGTGCTGGTCTCCTTCACGACGCACCCTTGTTTCATGTGGCTGCAATAATTATTGTGAAAGTCTCGCCTTGTGAACTACCAGGGGCCTATAAGAGACCTCAAAGGACCCTGTAGCATATGGGATGGGGGCACATGGGCTGCTCCAACTGTTTGGGCGCAGCCACAGGGCTGACGAAGTCTGGCGCTGCTCAAAGAGAAGGGGCGCGTTGGATCCGTCATGGGCCGACAGGACCCGCCCCTCTCGAAGATGCTGATCGTTGGCGAAGAGATCGGCTGCAGCTCTGAGGTGTCGCGCACCTGTTTGGATGCTGGCGGTTGGAGTGAAATAAAAATGATTTTTTTGGACGTGTGCGGGCATATGTGCGTGTTATGTGCGTGTGTGATGCCGATACCTCCCAACAACACCATTGATTTGCAAGCAGCGGGCCCTGGCACCAGAACCCTGTCCTTATTTCTTGATTGTGGGTTTCATCAGCGGTGTGCCCGTTGCAAATGATTTCATTGGGAGGAACCGTTCCAAATTTGCGAAAAATACCACATTGCAATCGTTTTGGACATTCGGAAAGTAATGGGAAACTACTGGGGAACCACCGGTAAAGCAACCCAAGTTCAATAAGAGACCAATGGACAACACAAATTCAGAAAACACAAGATTAAACAGGTCCAACATATTTTGTGTTTGGATACTGTTTGTCTCCCCCTCCCTCTCCCTGTGTGTATATATTTTAAACAATTTTAACTATGTATACATGTCGAGGTAGTTTCTTTATACATGTCGAGGTAGTTTCTTTATTTAGTTGTTGGATGTTGTTTGTTTTCTTTTGGGGGTGCTTAGTTTGTCAACCTAGGTCGAAATTCCGTTTCATGAATCACTTATTTGCGGCCGCCCCCATCACTAGTCCAATATGAATTCAATGCATGTTCAATTATTGTTCATGTATTTTCCACATGTCACTCCCCTTGGGCAGTTTAAGTTTGGATCCACCTGTTTGTATGACAACATGTATGCTCGAACTTGACCGGTTTGGACCGGTTTGTTGGTGTTCGGGTGCGCGCGTGACAGATTATGAGCATCGTGTCCATGCTCTCCGTGCCGTCCATTTTCTTCAGGCCGAAGGCCCGTTGGCACTTCCGGGCACTTCCGGCTAACCGTTCGGGAGAGCAGCGGCGACGTATCGCTGCCGAGCACTTTTCCGCACACAACTGTGGAAGTGCAATGTATTCGTGCAGTGCAGTCGGTCGTGTGCAGTGACAACATGTGACAACACATTGACATGAACGCATTTGACATAATATGTTAGAGTTAGATGGTTCATTGAAAAAGGCATTGCCGCAAGTAAAGGCGATGAAAAACAGGTTTGTTAGTGGAACAGCATGCTTAGAACTTAGTACTATTTTGTTTGCGTTGCCTTCCTTTTTTTTCCCTAGGCGTGTTCAACAAAACAAGTCCATTAAGTTCGTTTTGGGCCGAGTTCGCACACAGCTGAGCCGCCGCGGCCCAGGACAGGGCCGACGAGAGCGACGCAGCACGGGAAAAGTTCTTTGTGCCTGAGAGTGCCTGGACCCAGAAGCGACTGCCATGAATGTGGGGGAATGACCCAGAACCCACTGTAGATACCTGAGAATGTGGTCCCCAAAATTGTGGCAAGGTTTTCCAATACATGTTTAATTAGTGGGGATCTACTTGTCTATTTGGGGGTCTATAGGGTCCAACCACCCTCATTCCTTGCGAATTAAACACCTGTCAGGGATCGATCTTCCACTGGCTTTCCAGTGTGGCAATGGCTGGCTCAAATGGCCTGGCAGCTGGTAACAAGGCCATTGCTACGAGTACCCGTTGGAGGAACAGGAGGGATCTATATAAAGTGGATCCTTCAAAGTTGCCCACTTGCTTTCGTGAAGAACTTCCCTCAACCTTCCTGCCCAGTTTGGCTTTAAACTTCATGTAATGTATATAGTGGAACGTAGTGTATGTTTTCCGGTGCACTGACCTAGAAAACGGTTTGTCAGAGGCCAAAGACACTTGGGAAAGGCTCCAGGTTCAACAAATTTTCCTGATTAACAACTAAGCCAAAGCAACTGTTGTGAACTATGGCTTGCAAATGGTGAACTATGCTTTTGCAAGCCATCAAAGTCAAGCAATAATAACTTAACCGCGGATTGAAAGTCAGACATGAAGCCTCGCAATATAGCATGCCATCCAAGACTGACTGGGACGTTGGACGTCCCTGTTGCATTTTGTTGATACCACACTGACCCTAGCCACAGAGGCAGAGTCCCCAAAACAAATCTCACGGAACGAGCTCATAAACCTATACTAAAAACAAACAGTCTTTAGCAGTCTTTCCCCGCAACGCCGATGGAACCATGGGACATGTACCTCTTTCAGTTCAGCAAGTTATTTTTCTCCTACTTTCAGATGAGCTCTACTTTGCGTTATCGCTTGTTGCTTTTCAACTGGCACTGGACGGATGAAGCAGGCGCGGGTGTGGTCCACAGCCCCTGCTCATAACTACTGGTGTGCGGTGTTTGTCAATTGCCTCGATTGCCAACAGCTCACAGTTCACAATCAACTCACAATCAACTTGCCAGTGGTCATAGATGAAGAAGCGGAACGCTGATTTTCTGACATGGCATTCTTGGCGTGCTCTGTGTGTTGGACGCCAGAACTCCACCTGGGCGTTACCACAGTCGACCACATGTTTGGCGAAGAAAACTGAACGCTTACCAACTTAAACTAAGGCTATAACTTAACTGAAACTTTGGAACAGACATGGTTACTTTCAGACCTGAGTCGGGTGAGGTGATCATCTCACCTTCTTGAACGTGTACCAGCAGTGGGGTCACAATGGCTACAGCATGGGCGCCCATATGTTCGGAAGAGGGACTTCAGGGGCATGCGGCATGGGTGCGGAAACATGGGAGAATGCACACAGTTACGTCTTGGAATTGCTTGTCCGCGTGAGTCTTGGAAACTCGGAGGCCTAGGTTTTACATGTTTTTGACTGATGCTTGTCCTACGGACCTTATGAACTCTACAAATGCTGGAACCCTTCCCATCACCAGGACCTGAAGAGGACCGTGACCGTCGAGATCCGAGGTCACAGACCCAGGTCCAACTCGACTCTAGAGATTCTAGAGACTCTGAAAAGATCACGAACTGAAGGTTTTGGTGCTTTAAGGTGTTCCTATGGTGTTCCTTTGATTTTGTGCTTTTGATACTTTAGTTATCTTTGTTCTGGAGCACGGCACCTTATTTTCGGTTCCTCAAGGTTTTCTTTGATCAAAAAATGTCTTCCTCTGGAGACCAAAGACCGACTCATCAGATGAGTTCATCAACATCTCCGGACCATCTATGGAGTGGATGGAAACAGTACTTGTAGTGGTGGGTCTTGGGGGGTCTAACATGGCTTTACTACCTTCTTCTGAGGATGTGGTTAGAGCTCTAGGGGCATTACATTTACCCCGCCTATATACTAGTATGTATACGGTAACTCATTGTTCACTAGAAATTTGTGTATCGATCCTCATGTGAGAATATTCAGAAATTCCTTGCATGCTCCCTTTTGAGGATATTGTTTTGCAATTTTTTGAAATGTTTTGCACTTCGTGGCACCAAAACGCAAAGTCAGCAGCTTGCTGAGAACGCGGGTTAGGGCCTTAGGGGTCGGAATTGGACTTGATTCACACGTCCGAACGGCACTGCTTTGGACCGCGCAGGGCTTTTGTCAGCCATCGTTTTTTGGTGTACCGATCGATCTTGTTTCGTGCTTGTACCCGTTCAGCCGCCCGGAAGCTGCCCGATCGACTGCCCCGATTCTTGAAAGTGCGAGGTGCCAAGTGGTGTGGTGATCACTTTGTGCACCAGAAGTCCTTGAAGAAGGTTCGTGAAGTGTGGGGGTCCTCAGTCTTGTAAGTAAAAAGGATTGGACCTTGGGTAAAAATTGCTTGGCGACTTGGCTGAAGCTGAAGCTGAAGCTGAGTGTCCAGGAATCTGATGTTGCTTTGCAGATATTTGCAGATGTTGCTCTACTTGGTTCGTCCACGGCTCTTTTCACTTTTCCTGTCAGATGCGAATCGATGCTTTCCGGGCAGATCGAAACCTCCACTATCAGAACTGCTGCTCTTGGGCGTGCTTTTTGGGCTTGGGCTTACGACACTCTAGGTGACCTGAGAACTGGCCACTGATAATATCTGAATTGAAGGAATCCGAGGGAACACGATCCAAATAGACGGACCAATATAATACAGAAATAGAGCGGCGCCAGTCATTTAATGCTGTTTTTTTTGGGGTGTGCTGGTCTTAATGGTGGATTTCAAAAGCCGTGCAAGAGTGTCACTGTGGGGGACCCCAGTAGAATCCTTCGAACAATTGACTGTTGAAATTGATCCGCCCACTCGACCTTCCTTTTGGTCATCATTGCTTGCAGCTCGGCGCCTGAGGCGGGGCCAACTTGAAGAGATCATGCAGGGAATCCTGGTGAAGCACCGCCAGGGCGGGTTGGCTGCTTCCCAGACTGGGCATGGTGAGCCGGCAGTTTCGGACTTCCGGACATCTCCCTTGGTCCAGTTCAAAGGACATTATGGATTCCGTCATGTTTGATCTCAGGCTGGGATCATTCCTGCTTGGTCGTTGATTTACTCTGCCAAGGATCCAGCACAGCCAGAATTCATGGACACACAGCACATCCACCAAGCCTGCATGGGCCGCCATCGTGTGTCCAGACAGGGGGTGATGTGGGTGGTTGAGCTGGGTAGGGAGCTTCCCCAAGAAACCATCCGCACTAGGCACTGGTAAGGTTCTGAAATCAGGTGCACTGTGCAGCGAGACCACTAAGCCACGTTCTGAGGCAGCAGCAGCACTTGCAGATCAACTCCATAGGCGTTTCCGCCACACTTTTATGCTGGAGCCCACTAGCAAAACTTGCTGTAGTGCGGTGTGAAGAGCTTTTCTTGTTCGGATGCCGCTTTGCTGTAATGTAGTGACTTTGAAATTCTGAAAATATCGTACGCCGGAAGACCACCACCAAAACAATTGGGTGTTAAGGTGTAGTAAGGCTTTTTGCAACTGGTTTGAAACACACCCATGGTTAGGTCGCGGTACCTGCCCCTGCCAGGTACCGATTGGGACCAGGTGCGGAAGGCAATTTGCGCGGGGTACTTCCACAACGCCAGCAAGTCGAGAAACCCAGTGGCTTCGAACCTGCTTTGACAGTTGGACCTGGCTCTTTGGGTCTTTGGACATGCGAACGCTGGCGTTTTGGGGTCTTCGTTTGGCGGTTGGAAGCAGCCACCAATGGTTGGTGGAGCATTGGAAGGAGCCTGTTTTGGTGAAATGTTTGTCGTTGGATTGCAACATGTCTTTTGGTTGATGTGGTTTCCTTACATGCTCTTACCGCGGTGGAGGCAAGAACATAAGAATATATAGTTTTACATCGATTAGATTCAATCAGTAAAAACAGGCTTTAGAAGAGCACTTTTCAGCTGCCTGTAAGGATTTCAACGTTCATGGCCCATGGCCGTTCATGGATTGGATTTTTTAGTGGTCACAAGCTGCCTCCGGCCAGGCAAGTTGTGATGTCAGATTTGGATAGATTGATCGGATGACCTGGGATGACATCAAATCACTTATAGTTTGCTTTTTACAAACATTCCATCATTTCTAACATCTTCTAACCAAATGTTTTGATATGATTTGACATTGTAATGTATATATATATAAGATACAATATAATATATATATATATGATTATATATATATTGTATGATTCAGTTGATAACTTTTGTCAGGCGATTGCAGATTCCCAGATGCAACCAATCCTTGCACTCCCGAGGCTCCGAGGCATTGGCGAGTACGTGAACCTGCGGCCGGGGACGTCCGAGCAAAACCTGGATGGCAACAAAAGCATCCCAAAAGATACTGAAACTGTTTGGGGTCTTTGCTGGCATAGTTTTGGTGGAGGTTGGATGGTTTGGGTGATGGTCTTCGTTCTTTGGAAACATCATCCAATGTTTTTGTTGCGGGAAAATGTGTTTGCTCCGTTCCATGATCTAAATACCCAATCTTAAGTAATTTTATCGCTTCTTCTTATTTTTCTTCTTCTTCACGTCACGTACCACTGGTCGCCACTGAAAATCATCCATACGATTGGGAATTCATTCCATTGGAACATCCTCCACGTCGCCAATTCGCCCACGCCAGCCAATGACCCGATTGTTTGCAACATGTTCCAATGGCAAACTGAAAGCATAGCGTTTTTGAGGTCGCGGATCCCAGCCAACTTGCATCCCACCAGCTCGCTGCGCAGAGCCCCAGGGTTCAACGACGGGAAGAGGAGAAATGAGTGCCCGTGACATGGTGAGATTTTTGTTTGAAAGGAGATCTGGAATCTAGTATATATATATATACATATATATATTTATATATTGCTATATTATGTTATATTGTAGATATACAGTATACAGGTTCTTTTTGCCCACGACCGTCCCTCACGCGTTTTGGTGAGGGATTTTTGTTTGGCCGAACACGTGTGAATTGAGTATGGGTTAAACTTTAGGTATCCTTTTGAGTAACGTCATACCGAGTCATAATATATATTAAAGTATCAAATTGTCTCCCTCATTACTGGGCAGGATCACCTCCATTCTTTCGCATGTTATCCTGTTTTGCCTCAGGTATGGCTTGGGCTACACGCCTGACTACGTAGTCTACCACGAGGCCGTAGTTAGCACTGACTGGCAATCAGCAGCCAAAGCGACTATAGGACATCCTGCCCATCCGGTGACGGACGTTCCCCCATCCCTGAGCAACCAAGAACAACGCATCCCATCGCACAAGATGCTCCCAACCTGGCTGATGGCATGGCACACAAAATGCGACCGTCCAAATATCAAACTGTCGTATGTTCAACTTCCAGGATTGTTGGATGGAGCTCATCTCCAAATTGCATCCACCGACTGCCCCCTGCCTCAAGCTTTGCAGAGGCATGGTAAAGACAATCCACACTGAAAGCAAGAAGCCCTTTGCCTTGGGCAGTATCCGTGAAAGTAAGAAACCCTTTGCTTTGGGCAGCACTTTAGGTGCGGGAGGGTGACGGAAAATAGACATTCCATGACACGGTTGCTGGATGTTTGGTGGGTCCTGCCCACCGTTTTGAATCTATAAAATCTATCTATATATATATATTATATATATCTAGTCTAGAGTCTAGACCCACCAACAGAATTGTTACATGTATAGTTTAGGTGCATCCGTTGCTTTCTTGAAGCAAATCTCAGCAAGTGAGCAAGAACAACCATTACAAATCCGGCAACATCACAGGTACCAAACACATTTCACCCTGCTGCAGATCTTTGGGCAGGCATTATGCATTGTTTTGTGTCTTTTGTCCTCCACACACATTCCGTCGTTTTGGCATGGCGCACACGTCCTCTTGGTGGGTGGGTGGCTCGAACAGGTCATGTACACCGTGAAGGAGTACATGCAGACCGTCACTGCGGTAGACCCCTACTGGCTCGCGGAGTCAGGATCCCGGAAGCCTTTGACGCATGCGAGCTGCGATGGGCATGTGCTAGCCAGTAGACTCACAAACTGAGCCAGAAGATGAAATCAGTTTTGGACCTCAGTGGATTCTTATCAGATTCTTATCCGTCGGGATCCTGGAGCCAGCTGAAGGTCTGAGTCAGACCCCCCGCCCCCACATAACCCGGCGTTCAGGATCAATGCAGCATGTTCCGACAATTAATAAGCTTGCTCCGCAGAGCAAATATTAGAACATATACAGTAAGGCTTGGGGCCAATCGTCGGAGATATTTTTGTTCGAAGCATTGACAAAGATGTTGCCTTCAAGCTGCAGTTCTTTTTTGGGGGGACTGACACCACTTCCTCTCCCACTTGGGCTGTTGTTTGTCGGACAGTGGGGGAAGATTGTTTCTAGAACTGCCAGACAGAGGCATCAGGCGCTCCAAGAAGATGTGAGCTGTTTGACACTGTTTGGCTCCCGTGATGGAGCTCGAAGTGCCAACTCATCAGCCTCGTGGAAGGCTTGGACCCATGTTCTTCTCAGTGAAGGAGTCGAGCATGGGTCTCCAAGTTGGGAGTGGAAGTGGATTTGGCACCGAATAAACACCACACAGCGGGTTTGGGCCACCAACCTGGAGAAGGGTCATAAAGGGTGGCCGTTAGGCATGCAAAAGCTAGGCCGGCTTGGCTTGGCATGGCTCCCAGCCGAGTGTGTGGTACTCGATCCAGCAAAAGCCGCACTGACCATGGAGCAAATCGCATAGATTCCAGATATTCCCAGACTCCCAGATGCTGCGTTTCTCATCCTTTCTCAATGTTTTTTTCCATGTTTTTTCCCCCCAAAAAGGTACATTGAGATCATTGAGGATTAGCAGGTCAAGTCCTCATGGACTGGAAGGAGTCCCAAGACATCGGCTGTGACCAGACCTCCCCGGAAAGGTCAACCAGAAGAATCAAACAGAAAGGCGAAAGGGTACCTGACCAACCCGCAAGCTTCATCCTAGGTTTCGAGACAAAAAAGAAGAAACCACAAGACTCGTGCTGAACCCACCAGAAATCGCAAAACGGCGATTTTTGGGGCACGGCGGCTGACGGCTGATCCTGCTGAGAGGGTGAAATTCCGGGCTTCGCCTCCCTTGCACTTTTGGACAGGGCTTTGTGCGGATCGATGGGCCATCGTCTGGTGGGACACCTCAGGTAGCGACTTCCATGCGAAGGAGCGGCAAGAGCAAGAGGAACGGAGAAAGATGGAGCACCTCGGCGGACCGGACGACCTGTCACGGACGACCTGTCACGACTCGTCACGGCTGACGACCGGTCAACCAAACCGGTCGAACCGGGCTTTCGCACCCAGGTGATTTGCACCCAGTACTATGGAGACTACGGAGACTGAACACCGCGCCGCGAGTCAACCACTACACTCTTACCTCGTACGGCGAATTACAGCAGGACGTCGATCTCGAGAGGAGACACTGATGAAAACGTTCCGCTTTTAAACGGCTAGGGTCAGTGGGTTGCATAATGTTGCATACACCCATTGACGCTGATATATCAGAAGTGAGTCCCAGATCCAGCTGTGGAAATTGGAGTTTGGTCACCGCTCGTCATGGTCTCAAGCTTCGTCGGTGACTCGGGGGAGAATCGGCTCCAGCGATCGGCTAGGTACGAGCAGAAGCTCCGCGATGACCTTGAGCGGCAAGCGAAGCAGGAAGAAGCTGCACGGAGACCCAGAGCTGGCCAGAGCAGGCCAGAGTTCAAGTGTTTCTTGGATGGAGCTTGGCACGGATTTGGAGGAACAGTGCATGTCCCAAAACGACCGGGATCATCAAGTGATCGTTGTAAGACTGATTCGATGGTCATTGAAGACGGTTTTCAAGTTTTTTGCATGAAGAGTCTTTGACCAAGAGAGAAGATTGCATGAAGAGGGTAAGTGAACCCGTGCAATCATGACGCCTAGAATCAAGGACACTTAGTAAACCATCCATATCCATGTAGACCCTTTTTTTGGTCTCAAACCCCAAGACCTGCTGACTCAGGGACCTGTTGGATATGAATTTCAACCTTCACCATCACCAGCTGCGGTTTCCTTGTCGGTCGGTCCGTGCGCTCAGGAAGCCTTAGTCCGCAGTGGCGGCAAGGTCATCGAGTTGGGTGCTCATTGTTTGTAATGAATGTGTCATTTTTCATGTTTGTTCTGATTCATCTACATTCCTATCGTTGGTTCATGTTCGCTGCTTTTACTTGTTGCCTTCTACTCCTTTAAAGGCTCCTATGAATTGCCCGCTGCTGCCGAGTCAATTCGCGTGTGCTGCTCCACCCGCGCACACACAGAGTGGACACACCAACGTGCACGCCGCCGAGGGTGGGAAAGCGCCGTGCTCCACGGGAAGGCTTAAGGAGACGCCATGGCTGCCACTTCAGCGATGAGTGTGCAGTGTATTATAGTGCGCTCATGAATGAACATGTTTGGTTTGTGCCTCCTGCCGCCTGCCCTGAGTATTTCTTAAATGATCTTAAATGTATGTTTGTGGAATGTGTTTGATTGGACTTGCTAGAGCATAGGTCATATTCTGAGACTCTTGACTTGTGATTTCAAACAGCTTGATGTTTCCTTTTTGGGACACTTCAGCTGCAGAAATAAAGAAAAGAACAAACACACCGACCATTTCTCGACGGTTTTCACGGTTCGGGGAGCTAAGAGCAAGCCCGGGCCGCCAGGAAGCTGTCCAGTCAGGAGGACCAGGAGAACATCCCACGAGGCGAGGTAGCGTTGGTGGTGCCAGAGACGAATCCGTGCGCGCTGAGAGTCACGAATGCCATTAGGGGTTTAAGGCATAAGGACATGGCATAGCAATTGCAGTTTGATGCAGTTTGCATGTTTTTTTTTTTTTTTTAAGATTTGGTGTTCGCGGAAATTTGCAGGAAACCCATATTTGGGGGTGAAAAGTGAAAACCATGGTGTCCTGTACTACTCGTAGACTTTCCTTTCAACCAATTCTGGTATTTGCTTGGAGTTGATTCGAACAAGAACCTGCAAAAAGACAGAGCTGGAGAAGGCGACCACCAACGACCAACGACCAACGACCCACGCGAAAGCGTCGCACCAACGCACCGAACGGTGCGACGGCTCCCGACTCCGCCGACCGCAACAGTCTCGGGCACCGGTGCCGTGGTGGGCCGCGACTCGGACTCTGAGAGTGGGGAGCCCAGCGGGCTGAGGCTTCGGATTGGCTCGGTCAACCACGGGGCGAAAGGAGATAGATTTTCGGTTTTGGGCGCTGCTATGGCTGCTATGGTTTGGGTGAAATCCTTTGAGTCAGACCACCCTGACATCATGGCAAGTCGAACCTTGTGAGGGGTTGGCACTCCATATTTAGTAGAAATCACCATGGCTTTGTTGTTGCGTTTTTGTTGTGCAATGAAGAAACAAAACAACACATTTGCCTACTTACAAACCAAAAGGGTGTGACCCAAGTCATGTGACCAAACAGCGTTGGTGTTGAACTGCTTTCGGGCGGTTCGCAGTTCGCTCCAGGATCTAGACGCCAAGTTGACTCCTCATCACTGCCGCTCAGAAGACCAGCATGGTGAGTTGTTGACACCGGGGTGCTGTGATGGCCGCACAGCCCAGATGGCCGCAGAGCCCGGAAAGGATCTCAAGACCATCACACATCGGTCCGCCTTCGGCAGTTCCTGGCTCCTCCGAGGCGGTGCGGCGAAGCGGCGCCGGCAAGCAGGCCACGCGCGGGCTTCGAACGGCCGGAGGCCGTGCGTGTCGGAGTCTTAATGGTGATGACATGAGTTTGCAGGAGCACGAGGCCTCCAAGAGCACCAAAGCATACTGGCTAGCCTCTCCATCCTTTTGACAGGTTTCAGTTGTACCAACTAAGTTGTCTGACCTTTTCGTGGTGGTTAGCCGGATAGCCCCTTAGCTTGAACTTTGAGAACGCTCCTTTCCTTAGCAGCTGCAACTGTGTGTGCAGGCCGCAAGACACGCGCAGCTTAGATTGGAAAGGGGAAGGGCCGATGGAGGTGGTTCTCGGATCGTACGGTTTTCTTTGGTAGGGAATCGAGAGAGGTCAAGAGAGGTCACTGGCTTCTGAAAGGTTGCTGGTTCCCGGGGAATTGTTGTGAAAAGCATTGTCCAAGCATGTCCAAACTAAGCTTGTCTCAAGAGCGCATTCTGTTTACTTTCCAGAGGATGGGACCACCTTGTCCCATCATTCCCCTTTGTTTTTTTCGGTGTCACACTCAGGATTCATATAGGTGAGTAGCGTGTCCCGCACCAAATTGCTCAGATGGGTCATGGTCGTTGGCACGTCGCCGTCTCCGGCAGCGTCTCCGTCTCCGTCCGTGGCAAGGTCCGAAGTGCTTGGGCCGCCACAGCCAGCCAATGAGACCTCGCTGTGAAACGACGCGAGAAAAGGTGATGTTGGAGCGCCCCGTTTGGGCGAGCCTGGTGGTCTCTGGTGGTTTTGATGGATGGGGGGAGCACTGGCTGGTGTTTGTGAAGGTACATGTTTGGTAGAATTGTGTTGATCCAGTTTTGGAGCTCACAGAAACGTCGATCAATCAATGGATATTGGGATATTCGGGTTCGCCTTGCACTAGCAAATCTTGCGGGAATTCGGTGCTCACTGAATCAGCGGTTCCAGTGTCGCCAGCGTTCATCGACCTACCGAACATGATGTTAAATGCACTCCAGGAACTCCCTTGCCCTAATCTCTTCATGTAATATATATATATAATTATATCTATAACTTTATAGAACTATATGTATAAGTTATATGATATATATGATATATACAAAATATACTACTGTACTTTGTGAACAGTTTGTTCAAGTCCGGGCACCAGGTTCAGCGCATGTAGACAAACAACCGGCATCGGATTGATAGGGATAGATAGATGTATTTTAATCCTGTCACTTTTGTTGGCCGTGTTCTTTGCAGAAGGGAAGATAGTTTCGAGCCTGAAAATTGTATGCTTTAAAACAAATATATATATATATTAAGGTATATCAGCTTTGCCTTGGCAGGGTAGTCATGACAACCATCACATGGTTTCACGTGAGCGCGGGCTACTTCATGTAAATTTGGGTTTTGGAGATGGTAGCTCGTGCGTATCAGGTATCCTGCCCATTGCTGCAACCCTCCATTGTGGTAGCATTGTGGTAATTGTGGTACTGCCACTAACAGCTAGCCAATTTTCCATTCACATGATATTGGACCAGAGCTGGAAGTCTACGAGGATGCAATTCAGCAACGGAAACTCAGCCGAACGATTAGGCCTTCAGAATATAGACATATCAGACACTTCACCAACTCCATCATCACATGTATTTTCACTGTGATTTCATAATTTTTGTGGCATAACACGTGTTATCGATGGCCAGTGATGCAAACTTGATGCAAATCGAGGCATCCAACATCAACCTTTTGATGCGACAGAAACACACCTAAGCCAAATTGGACCACAGAAAGGCGTAGGGTACAGGTCCTGCAGGTTGCTGCCAGTGTGGGACATCGAACGGTCCTTGTGAGCCGCCACATGGCTTCCTTGCTGATTGCTTCGCTGATCTTGGCCTTCTTAGGCTATGCTTGGGTGATCGGCCACATGGCCCATCCGGGCTCGACGGAGGGATCGTTCAGAACCCAGGGAGGGTTCCCCAAAAAGGTGGGGCGTTGCATCTCAATTGATCTAGCAGCTAGCAGCATGTTCACAAGGTGGCACTGTCTGAATGGGAGAGGGATGTGCATTAAAGCACCGAAGCACCTCAATGGATGAGTGAAAGCACTCAGTGTGTGCTCAGGAGTGCTGCTGTGGAACTATCCTTGGCTCCTCCAGCTGCTGCTGTTCACCACTGTGGCAGTTCTCTTCTTCGGTGGCTCGTTCGTGTGCTTCCTTTTCTATCTCATCCGAATGAGACATGCCACTTGGACAGATTTGCGGTGGGCTGAGGCAGAGCACAAGCAGAGCATTTTTTGTTCAACAACAACACGCGCACATCCGCCGCAAAAGAAACGAACCAAAGAAACTCTTGGCTCAGTTTTTTTAAGGATGGGTGCCTCCAAGTCTAGTCCTTTCGATGCCAACGAAAAGGGCCGGAGTCAACGAGTGGTGTGATTCACGGCAGTCAACAGACTCAACTCTTACCCTCTCTTGGGTTGACCAACACTACAACCGCATAGCCAACCACAAGATGCCAACAGATAGATAGACAGACAGACAGAAAGAAACATAACTATAGTTGGCTCATGTTGGCTCTAACTATGCCATATTCAACCTGTAGCCTGTATCGACGGCTATTGCTCCCACATCCAAGTACCGACAAGAGATCGGGCAAACGTGGGTTGGGTAGTGGGTTCGGACTGAAACCTTCAGGGGGTCGTACATTGTGCTTACATAATCAGACCTGACGAATGCCGCAAACATGGACCCTTCAATCAAGCGTCAATGAGAAGTGACTGCAATGTCACTGCATTTTGACATTCACTATTAGATTTGCTAGAATTAGTGGATTGAGAGTAGATCGCACAATCCCCAACAGTGTTTGGCATCTAGGAGTTTGAGCCATCTACTTTGAAGTCACTGTAAATCTTATATATTCAACCCTGACCCAAGTTTCTTCCCAACATGTCATCATTCCAGCTCCAGTGCTTAGGAGAAGGGCGCCATGCAACTTTTGCCGCCCCAGGCGACGCAGTTCCTGGAGCCTCAGCAAAGCCGAGAGAAACTGCTAAACAGTAGAGAAAAACACATGTTTATAAAGGACTTTGGAAATCGCCTGCTCTTCTACTGAATCTAACGTGTATATTTGTCGAGCTTTGGTAGGTGAACATGCCCAGATTCAACTACTGTCTTTTCAAACCGCATGGCTTGGGATTCCCCCAATGCCCTCTTAGTTCCAACGAACCAGGGGTTGTGGCCGCGGAGCGAGCTGAGGATCTATCTATTTTTGAGATTGTTCAGGTGCTGAATCGCTTGGTGATGAGGCCGCGCGCGGAAGATGTCGTATGCGGTTAGCTTGGGGTGTCCTAAACTTACAAGCTTTCCCCCGGAAAGCAATGGTGAGGAAGTGGAAGACCGCACCAAACAAATGAAGAACGTTGAAGACTGATTTTCCTTCGCTCGTGTCTCCTCCGCACTTGTGGAGTCAATTGCATGCACACTCTGGAGGTTTGTGGGGCCGGATGCCAGCAGCATGAGGTGCAGTGTCACAGGTCAATGTACTTGATACCTGGAGGCCCTCCAATGTATTTTGTTGTGGACTTGCGCTGGGGATTTTCACCACAATCCTGTTTCAGGGAGCAAGCGTGGCATATAATCCTGTACCGCCCAGAGTACCTTGCTTCGGTCAGCAATCGCAAGGCCACTGTACGACGTGGTCCGCGTGCTGCTGCTGATCAATGTAGACCTAGACGAGAAGACACGGAAGGAGAGGCTGACAGATGACCACAGGAAGCAGGCATCAAACCAAGCAATCCATTGCTTTCCAAAAAAGAAAACTCAGTCCCACTGAGATATCCCTCAGTCCCACAGCTTCACCACTGCCCACCCTCGCCCGCCTCCTCGCCCGCCTCGGCAGACCTCGCAGTATGTACCAGCACATGTTTGCACGCTCCGCGGCTTCCGCGGCAGGAGATCTTGGAGGAGATGAGCCCCGAGTTCCGCCGCAGGGTCTTTCAATGCACGCTCGCGCAGCTGCTGCCCAAGTCTGTTCAGAAGGTCGCCTTGGGCAACCTGGCGCAGCTGCAAACTAACGTGACATAATCAAAAACATTCATGGGCGGCCTGCGCCTGCAGAAGGGGATCTCGTTTGAGTGGGGAGGTAGATTAGTTGCACATAGTTGCACTGGGGTGTCCAGTGCCGAAGACATTGGATGGATGTCTTCGGAAAGAACTGGCCTTGGCTCCGATCAGGCTCATTGGTCAAAACCAGTGGAGCCCCAAATGGAAGGACGGGATTTCGACCAGCACGCGAAAATAGTAAGACGTCTTTTTGATGTTCCGTTGACCCACGACCAAACCAACCAACTAGGTCGGTTCTTGTAAAATTTGCTGTGGCGCTTCTCGAGCAATCACCACGTTGGGAGCGCATCCTTGAGGCAAAGAGTACAAAGTGGTGGAGGTTGACGAAAAAGCCACCATGCAGGACTGATGTGAAGGGCTTTCTTGACACAAGACCCTTTGGCACGTTGAAGAGAATCGAGGAGTTCTTAAACAAGACACAAGAGTGACACACGTGTTCATCAACAAGTGTTCATACAAGGCTCTTTGTTGGAATGATGGCAATATGTTTGCAATAGATCCTTCCAGGATAATCATAGATCCTTCCAGGACATCGGGGCAGACAACCTTGGAAGTAAAAGACATGTTAATAGACATGCAGATGGCTACAACTGGAGACAAAGGAGTGCAAAAACCACACACCACCCTTTTGAGTTGCTTGCAGAGCATGTGAAGGAGTCCATACTTGAGTCAGAAACTACGCGGTTATGTGTTCTGGATTCAGATATCCATCCAAGTTCCACATACATGGCGGTAAACCGTTTGAGACCTCACTCCCTGGAACGGTTTTTCAATTCATGTAGACGTTTGATTAGCAAACCCCCCAGACATGGATTGAAAAACCGTTTCGGACTTTGGGGGGGTTATTAATCAAGAGCCCACAAGAACATGACCTTTTGGTGACAAGAGCACCTTTTTCAAGACCTCTTAATCAAAGACCTCATGTGTCCTTGTTCAAGAACACCTTTTTTCAGGACCTCTTTGGTGACAAGATGGAGATCGAGGACTGCCTCAGTCCCAAGCGGAGTGCATCCCTCTCCGATCTTCTCGACTTCATGCGGTCCGTAGAAGGCGGCCGGACGCGCAGATGTTGCAGCGCTAAACCGTCGATCAGAGCTTTTTTGATGCACCCAGAGGCGACCCTGAATCCGAATCCTTTGGAGGGGGTCTCAAAACCCTCGGTTTTGAGGGACCAACCGCTGTTTGGAGCTGTTGGGCAGTGAAAAACATGTGTTTCTCAAACGTTTTCCTTGTCACCCTTTCGGTCAATTCCATTTCAGTCAAGTAAGCATCGACTGAACGAACCCGCAAACGCACCAGGGAGGGTTCGAAGTGGAGAGTTGTTAAGGCATTAGTCTATCCGATCCAGAAGTACCCGGCAAGGGGCTCTGGGACCCCATGGGGACCAAATCCTGATCTTTTGGGGGACCACATGGGGCAATGGGGCCAGCCCCATCATTTTCATCGGGACAATGTCCATATGCTTTGTTTGAGACACCCTTAGGAAAAGCAGACGTATAACCGGATGGGCCCAATGGGTGGAGAAGACCCCCCTTGCTGAACATCATACGCCCATAGGAGCTTTCCTTGACCCATGGCTGCCAATTTTGGGCATTGGAAGATGATGTTCCTCCTCCAACGTCTGGAACTTCAGTACTCGCGACCCCAGTGATGTCACCCACCTGCAGAAGACCCGACTCGAGCCCCCCCAGCGTTGGACATGTTTCAGACCCCACGTGAGGGAAGCGGCGAACACCCAGGGACCGCCTGCCCGGACCAGATGGCACTGCATGCCCTGAGTGCCTAGCAATCCACCCGTCAACTTTCACCCGTGAGAAGCTGCCTTGGGCGGTCCATTTGGGCCGTTTGGGCGGATGGGATTGAGACTACGTTAAGGATCTTCACACTGATTGCACATGGTGAACGTAACTTCGCAAAGGGTGGCAATCACACTGCATCGAACAAAGACACGTATGGCACTCTATGAACATGGTCGGGACATCGCCTAACGTTGAACTTCCAAGTGCCAAGTACGGTTACATGGTATAGCAGACGGCCAGGTGCTTCGCAGAAGACACGGCAGAGCTCAGTGTTACAGAAGATCCTTGCCAGCGACTTGGGTGCCAATTGATGCTTAAATACAATATCACGAAACCCAATTGATCTTTTTTTATATTTTGAGCAGTTGGTTTTGGACTATTAATTGCCCACACGAAATTACTTGAATACATGCATGACTTGTCAGCAAAATGTGTGAAGTTTATCTTTTTTAGATAAATCTACAGTAATCATCACCTTGTACAAGTTAAATATGATACTATTCTCGGGGTTTGGGAGAGACATCCAGTATATCGGCCACCGTTGTGCTGTTTGCATATTGTTTTATTGAGCATGCAAACCACAAAACTTCGATCATTCATAAACGCACCAGTACAACTGCGATCATATTAGTTTCCGAATTGACAAGGCAGATCACAACCCGAATTGACAAGGTAGTTGGATGAATCATGATGAATCATCCGTCTCTCCTGATCCAAGATCTTTATTTGTCACTATTCAGCCTTGTAAATATACCATCATATACCTTGGGTCTGTCCTATTACCGGTAACAGTCAGTAAACAAGTATGACTATTTTTGAACAAGGCCTGCAACTGAACCATCATCATCCACTGTTAACAGGTATTGGAATAGACACATGAATCATATATATATATATACACACCACCCTTTTAGGATGACATCCACGAGGTACTGTCCCACATATATAGACCTCCCACTAGGTCCTGTCCCACTGGAGCGCATGGCTCGTCCCACCGTCCCATCCTTTTGGGACTTTTCCGGGCCCCGATGGCGTCGCTTGGAGGCAAAGTCTCCGATGGCGCCTTGTGGACGATGTCGCAGGGAGCGGTGCATCAGTATGAAAGTGCCTGGGCGGAAGCGGTTTTTGACGCGACGAAACCATCCAAAACTGGTGAAACCATCCTAAATGACGTGGCGTCCTATCCAAGCTTGAACAAGTGCTTTGATCAAGGATTTGGGCATTTTTCCGTGTGATGATGAGCCACTGACTACCTTTTCTTGTGCAAGCTACTCTATATCTAAATTAGCCATGACATGCCAGGAGTAGGACCACAGGGCCATCTCTCATTGAGGCCACCTCAGTGGTCGGGTGCATTACCTCCTGGAGAAGATCAGCCACGAGCCGCGGCAACGTTTCCTGAAGCTGCCCTGGCGCATTTTGCACTGGGAGGCCGGGCCCAATTCGGACGGAACGAGATCATACGCGATCTCCGGGTTTGGTCCGTTTGCTCGGCGATGGGTTCAAGAGTCATTGAAGGCCGCCCCAAGCTGGACTACTTGGACTGAGGAAGTCATACTGTGGCTGGTCTATATAATAAGTTGGGTCTATCCTATTACCTGTAATAGTTAGTAAACAATTATTAATATGTTTGAACAAGGCCTTTACTAACCATCATCATCCATTGTTACAGGTATTAGGATAGACCCAACTTATAAGGGTTGTGTGTATGAGAACCAGCCCTGAATGCGGGTCCTGGTGCACGTGTTTGCATTGTATATTGTATCGGTGCTCGCATGCTTGTTCCTCGTTGGTGCGATCATTTGCCTTGGTGGGGAGGAATGACTGAACCGGCATTTTGCTGTAGACACTTCGCTAGAAACGTAGATTTTTCTAGATTTGTTTTTTTTCAGGAGTCTCAGTGGTGAAAGCGCTGCGTGTTTTGGTCCTTTTGAACTCCATCCGCCGCAGGTGACCATGGCCCAGTCAGTCTTGAAATCGGCCGCCTCCCTCTTTGCAGAGCGTGAGCCCGCGGAGGAGGCCAAAAAGGAGCGATGGGAGTGGGGTGGTTGCTACAGTGGTTTCAGAGTAGATGGTACAATTCCTGAAAGGTGGTTTATATGGACCCCATCTAAAGGACATTTGGGGGTTGTGCCATCTACTCTGAAACCACGGTACTGAAGTGTGAAGATCCTGACCCCTAGGAGCCCTTGAAATTGACACCTTTGGCCTTTTGGACTCCAAATACATGGGATGAATTGGACCCTGCCTTGTGGGCATGCCCTGTGCGTAACACTGTGTAAGAGATGTGCTGGCATGAGGAAGGTGTGGATTGGTTGAGGGTTCTGGTGATGTATATAATATGGCCAACACATCTTGCTTGGGTTGACCCGTCCTTGTTCCAGGATGATTCCAGTTTTGGAAAAGCTATGCTGTCTCATTCAGGGTTCAAATTCAACATAGTTCAACACCAGCCGGTTGTAAAGCCTCATGTTCTATGAGAGCTTTCCATGTCGAGCCATCGACTGCCCCCCGTTGAAGTCTGCCAGGAGAGCTGAGCCGAGCACCGTGGATGCTGATGGCACGTGGAGTCGACATGCAGCAGAAGCCCCTTTGGAGGAGAAGCCATGCCAGGCAAGGTGGCTCACACCGGAGAAAGAAGGAAGCCTCGTGGTCAAAGATGTTTCTCCAAACAAAACTGCTGTTGAATTATTCTAGAGCAGAATAGTTAGAGGATGTTGCTTGAAGGCAGAAGAAGGGACGTATTTTTGCTGAATGTGTGCTTTACCTCCACCGGTCGTTAGCCCAGCCCAGCAGCTTGGTCCAACCGGGCAAAACCTTTGTTTCTTTCAGCCGCCCAACCGCTCGTTTCGGCGGGTTTCGGCCTTGTTTCAGTGCTCGCAGTCCGCAAGTGGTCGCTTGGAGGCTTATTCAATGAAGAGGCTTGTTTAGCACATTTTACCCATTTTCGCCGCATATCCCCGAGCAAAGGAGCTAACATGAAATAAGTGGGCAAAGGATGAGCTGTCCACTCATTTGCAGGATTGAATCCAGCCATACTGTGGGGAGTGGAGAAGGTTCTTTGGAAGAGGTAGTGTCATTATGATAGGTATATGTATGTTATATGTGCATGCCCAGTGGCATTTTCAGGCAACTACTTCGAACAATGTTGAGCACAAATGGTTTGGTCATTTGGTGAGCGCATGCCGCAATCTCAACCTACATCCACCCAATCAGGTCTCATCTCCAACTCTGGCACCTTGCAGATGCAATCATAGTAGTTTCACCAAGCGGACGACTATGACTAGGCCGGCCGCCAACGCAGGAAAAAAACGAGCCGGCGCCGGCAGGGGTGTGGTTTTCAGCTAGCAAGGGCTTGGCGAGCAAGTGAAACAACAGAAAGTCAAATAGGGCAGGTTCCTTTTAATTAAAACTCCTATAGCCTATACATGTGATTAGAAGCTTTAACTAGTCATCAATGTCAATGGTGTGAAAATCATTCTCACTTGGCTGATCCAATGGCACTCGGCACGCGGACGCATTCAACTCGACCACTCGACCTGCTCAGCACGTATCAAACATCGCTTGACAAACTGTGCTAAGATTGAACATTGGCAGCTTCATGTTGACAAAGCAAAGTTCGTCAACAAAATGCTTATTGAGCTGCACGCGACACATCCACCATGAGACAGAGCAGCTCTCAAGGCTAAATGTTACAGCTGAATGGGAGTAAACACTTAAATTTGACAGAGCAGCTGGCACTGTCAAGACCTTTGTCGCGGCTCATAAAGGTCTCGATATGCTTGCTTGAAAGTGATGAAGGGCACCCGTTATTTGCAGCTCCGTGCCAGACCCGTTCTTACATTGGTTGTGGGTGGTGTGTACAGGATTTGGTGCGGAAGTGCTTTCGCCTTCTTCTCTCACGGAGAGGACCGACGCCCGACCGAAGAGGAGTTCGAAGAGGAGGTGGATGAGTCTGACATTTTTGGCGCAGGTGTTGAGTAAGCATTGCTGTAAGCATTGCTGAGACATATATTGTGCAGATCCAAACAAAGAATCCGTATATCCGTATATGGATGTTTCTCAGTCTTCCGCCATGGAGATTGCTTGGTGTGTGCGGCGTTTGAGCGCATCAGTGCACAGCACGTGCCCCAAAAATGAAGGAACAACGTGCCCAACCTCAGGGTGCATTTGGGAGCTGCCCATGGCTTGGAGGAGTTGATGGTTGATGTGTTAATAGTTTATGAGATTTACTAAGTCAGAGTGTTTGGGGTTTTGGTGTTTAGGGTCAATTCATTGATATCAACCAGTTTGGGTTTATTCTTGACTTGCTTATAATGATGGTTTATTTACCAGTTACTGTATCAGCTTTAGGGTCAATTCATTGAAAATTGGTTGAGACTTGTGTGCAGTTGATCGGGCGTCTTAAAAACAGTGTTCCGTGATCGCCAGAACGTCCCCGGAGAGTGGACCGAAACTGTGCATGTGGACCGAAACGTGTGTGTAATTGTGTGTTTTTAAGGAGCAAACCGGGATGATACAACATCGGATGATACATAGTATACTGCAAACACGATGTTTGGCTCAATTTGTGCAAGCTTCCGGCTGCTCACACTCAGAAAACCTTGTCGCAGGTCGAACATGTGCATGACGCTTTTCGAACTGAAGAAAGGGACAGTCAAACCAATACAGTAAACCGGAGGAGCTCAAACAAGTCACGAGGGTATCCAGAGGTGGACAGAGAACAGAACAGTTTGGTTATGCATGTATCAACTTATAACAGTTCGTGAGCATTTCCGCAGTCCCGGCAAACGCTGAGCGGGTCCGACGGTCCAAGTATGGCAAACATTGGAAAACAGCATCTAGCAAATGATCATAGATAGGCTGGATCAAACTCAGACATTCGCAGACACCAGATTACATACAGGCTGAACTGAACTGCACCTTTCCTGAAGTAGGCGTAGTGAGTGCGTCCGTAGACGGGTGCCGCACCGGGTTCCCGGCTCGTCCATCATGCTGGCCCTGGCGCTGCCACCAGCAGTGGATCACCTGGTGAAGGCACCAGCAGACGTCGGAGGTTAGTGAAGGCCTGAGCCGAGAAAGGTTCCAATCCTGCCAACCAAGAGAGGTTAAGTCACCTTATAGGACCCTTTGTTGGAAAGTGGACACCCGAACTGAACCGCCACGGACCATTCAACCACCGGGCATGAAAAACCCGAGCGGTGGAAGGGAAGAGACTCACTTCGAAGAATGCCCAGCTGGGATGGAGGATTTGTTCCCAAGCATTTATGCTTTAGTAGCTTAGCTTGCTTTGTTGGCTTGGGAGGGATATCATATCATTGGGCGGCTTCAATTGTCCCTTTAAGATCTTTTGAGAAGCGTGAAGTTATATAGTTAATTTGGCGTTTGATTCAAGTCCCGAGCTTCAACTGATTCTGGATATAACTGTTCCCAAAGCGAACAGGCTATATACATGTAACCTCAATTAAATTGTCTGGCACGCTGGCACAGTTCCTTGGCATGTCACCCAAAGCACCATCAACTCAAGCATGATTCTGTCCGTCCTATGTGTGCCGTGCATGGATGATTTGGCTCAAGGGCAGGGAAGGCCGGTGACGCCGAGTTGGCCGCAGGAGACGCCGAGTTGGGTGAGCTTGAAACTGTGTCAGTCATGTAATACATATATTGGGCTGGGTAGGTTCTCGGTAGGTTCTGTCCAGTCGATTTAGCAAGATGTTTGAAGGCACATAGGCGTTTCCTTGGTTTCATACCGGCAGCCTCCGGACGCTCGTTTTGCATCCGTGCAGACAGCCCTGGAGATAGTGACGTACTGTACGGATGATATAGACGTACATGCGGATCATTTGTTGGCCTCTGCTAAAGTGCCCTCAAGTGAAAGAAGCAATCTCAAACGTAAAGACCTTGTCATGGTGTCATAGACGGTGCCATGGAGGATCACAAACCAGGATTTGTTTCTCATGTTCTGTCCCACCAACCAGGCATGTGCACTATCCAGGTGGCAACCACTCGCAGGATGTTGATGAAAAGGCGCCGCCCCCCGCGCCCGAAGCGCGCCGCCGCGGAGCCTCCGCCCTGGGACGAGCGGCACCACCTGTGCGACTCGCAGAACGAACTGAAACCGCCGCAGCAGCGGCAGTACTTCTCGCGGCCTCAATCGTTGCCGGAGCTGCGGAGTGACATCTCCAGGACCGAAGGTTTCGAGCGTTTCTGGCGGGAAGGGCAGGGATTTGGAACATGGGAAGGGCAGGGTTTGCAGGGCAGAAGGCTTGCAGGGTTTCGATGGGCGAGGCGCAGAAAGGCAGTGGCAGGATGGGATTCTGGGAGGTTGAAGAAAGGTCGTGTTTCGTGGCAGAAGGGGTGCGGTTCCACCGAGTCACCAGGGGTGCGGTCCTGTGACCAGATACACACCTTTGAGCCGAAAGAGGTTGGGACCTTGCAGACCTGTGCCGCAGATGTGTGCGGTGCGTAAACTCAGAGCCTCACAGGAGGCCAAACTGCAAGTCCATCCTTCACAAGCTGGACACAGATGAGGGTGACAAGTGCTCCTCGGAGCGATGGAGCACCGGTTGGATCGTTGTTTTGCTTCGGGGAGGCGAAAGAACTGCCAAGTCTTGGGCTGCCAAGTGTTTGTTGTTGTTGGTGGTAGAGACAAAAACAGCCGCCCAACATAGTTGTCACATGTTGCAAGTCAGGGATTTCAATGGGATTCTGTTAGGGATAGGGTCGAAGGTTTGGAGAGATGTTAGTAGCTGGACTTCTTGTCGTTGTGGTACTCAAGTCTTGGTTGGTTTTTTGTTGTGTTGTTTTGGGGAGGGGGGGGGTCAAAAAACAACAACGGGGTTGCAGATTTTGTTTCTAGGATGTGGTAGAGGTTCTAAGTAGAAGTTTTACAGGGTTTACGTTATTAACCAGTTACAATAAGCATCACCAGTAGCATGACCCTCAGAGGAGTTTCATAGACCCTAAGGCCCTAAGAAGGCGCTTAAATCGACCAGATTGTTCCATTGGAATCCAAAAACTTCCAGGAGTCTCCAAGAAAAGACTAATTTTCAGTGCATAGATTGAGAACCGGGTTTCCACCCCCCGCCCCGCGCACTGTCCACACGTCCCGGGGTGGGGGGTGTCTACCACTAGTAGTAGTAGCACTAGTACCACTAGTAGTCGTAGCAGTAAAGTGCTTGTTGTCCGGTTGTTTTGGGGGGGGGGTCAAAAAACAACGACGGGGTTGCAGAATTTGTTTCTACCCCCTTGTAGAGAAAAAGAAAGAAGATGTGGTGTAACGGGGTTGCAGTTTTTGTTTGTACCTTGTTGTTGTTGTTGTTGTTGTTGTTGTTGTTGTTGTTTTCTCATGCTTGCAAAAGCTCAATGTTCGATCTATATACGTTAGGTGTGAGGAACAAAACAAGTGTCACCACTTCGATGCAGGTGACCATAGTGTGTTGGTTTCTCAGTCAGTACACCTTACCATCACCTCAGCAATGAGGAACGCTTCTTTGCTTAATCAGAGCCAAGAACCCTCATCACATGTCGACCATGTAGTGATATAAACTATGCTAGTACAACTGGGTCCACCAAGTATACTTGATCAACACGGTTTCTGTTGATTTTGTTTGCCCCACCTGAGCACACATACCTATGTCCTACGCCCAGTCCACAGCACACCTCACTTACATTGCGTGCCTTGATGAATCTCATTACAGTACGTATACGTATGTTGTCGAAGTGTGTGAAGTTTCAGCAGCTCCCCTTTCTTTCGAGGCTGCGCATACCCAGCACATCCAGCACAGCTCCACGTCGCCATCCATCACCTCTCAACTTATATACAGAGGTCTCAGAGTAGATTGCACCATTTCCCCAAGTTTGGTGATTTATATGTGGACCTGTAAGGGTTTGCGCCACCTACTCTGAAACCACTGTACTTTACCCATCCGGATGCTTAATCCACACAGCCCTTATCACACGTCTTTTGGCCCCGAGTGCCACGTGGAAGACATCGGCAAAGTGTCAAACGTTTGAGAAAGATGGCCTGAGGAAGTTATGGTTGTGACATGTTGTGACGAGAGTGCAGCAAACCGGAGAAAAAACAATCAAGTTTTCTTGACTCAAACCTGTGGGGATCCCTCACTGGAACCATCAGCCGGACCTAGTCACGAAAAGGCTTGCAGAACAACACCTGCAGCGCTATATCCGCTGTTTGAGGCCCTAAGTGTTTGAATCCATACCTCTTGGACTCCGTCCACTGCCGCCGCTGCGGCACTCAGCGTCAGCAGATGCCAGCGCAAGCTGCTTCCTTCCTGACCGCTGACGCAGGGCCCTCGGTGTGCCCCACACGGCATGCCATGGGGGCCGGAAGCATGGTGGACCGGGAGACTTGGGGTCAGAATGAATTCTTTTTGCCGTTTGGTTGGAGGTCGCTGTGCCGTTTATATTGTTTTTGTTTTGCGTTTGTTGTTGTTCATTTGAAGGTTTGTTTGGATATGATTCGGTGTGTGAGGAATTGATTTGTTTGTTTCGTAGTGTTGTGTACAACTTACATGTGGGCATGGTGGCCTGATAATTTCTGATTCAGTTGCCCTTGCACTGCACACTATGCGTCAGAGTAACAGTAAGTAGCCTAGCAATTGGTTGCTGCAATAGCTTGCTTTTTAATGCCTGCAGGGTCCTTGAAGACTAGATTAAGCAATGCCAGTGTCCAAAATCCTTTCTCAGTGCAGCCCAATGGATACACTCACTTTCACTTGCAGCTGGTCCAACAATTGTGCTTCAGCGATCACCACAAAGGTGCTTATAGCGACCACAGCGACCGAGGATGGAGTGAAGTGTCCTTGGAACAATCGCTGGAGCGCCGGCATCCATATCCTCAATGAGTCTCGTCAGCAGAGCAGAAATTGCTTAGCTGTGTGGTTGACGCATCAACCAAACCAAAACCAAGTCAGATAGAAATATGATTTTGGAGTGGTACTGCTGCAATTAGTAGGCAACACAAACCAGTCACAAAACCCACTCCTTGTGTATTGTATTGCATGCAAGGGGTAAGCTGGGCGGTTGTAGATTCACTGAGATTTGAAGGATGTCAACGAAGGAAGGGCCAATAGAGTCATCCCAAAAAATAAGGGCCTTGTCGGCAAGCCATGAACTACATTCTGCTAATCTTTCTGCAGACCAAAAATGTCCGAAACTCCAATTCAAAAATAAGACGGAGGCGTTGATATATGTGGTCTAATCTTCTTACCTCTAATGCCCAGCACATATCTTTTTTGAGCCGCACCGTCGCGAAGACATCTCCCAATTGAAAACCACGCGAAGACATCGACCGAAGGAGTGCATGCACCCACTGCACCGGAGCTCCTTCGCCACAAAGAGCCTCTTTGAAACGGCGCCGTCGCAGCAGTGGCGACGGCACCTCGATGTCCAGGATGAGTGCCTTGGGTGAAACGGTGGAGACATGAACGTCCAGTCAGATGAGTCCAAGGCGAGTCTTAAGCTAAGCTACGCTTAAGCTAGGTTGATTATAGCTAAGGATGAACGTGGGGAAGCTCTTTGCAGCACAAACCGCACTCCCGGAGAAAGAATGAAGAAACACAAGGCGTGTAGGTAGGGATAGGTGGGGTTTGGAAAATAGAATGGCCATAGTCCACCATCCGTTTTCACAATGTCAATTTGTGAACTCAATCATGGTCAGGCCATGCTGACTTGGGACCATCCACCATCCTTTGTTGCCGCCATTTGAGGGAGACTGAGATTGCCCTTGTTCCAATCCAAGAAGTCTTCAGTTCAGTCATCCCCTTGCAACACACGTTTGTTCGCTCGTTCTTGGCGACCATTCGTTCGGGTGGCGCAACCGGCGACCAGGTTTGGCGGCTGGCGGCCCACGGGCACGAGCAAGATGCCAATCTTTTCAGCCCTGGGTGTTTGATGAGCACAGTGCTACGAAGGAAGATGAGGTGAACGATGTGGCCGCCTGTGGCCTAGCTCGCTAACTTATGATGCATAGGCAATTAGGTGTTTGTTGCTGGTGGAGGCCCTTCTCTAGCAATCAAGTATGGGGTACATAGACCTGTGACTAATGATAGGTGGGATCATGGTTTTCCCTCAGCCTGATGTGATGATGCAAGCTTGTGGTAGATTGGAAGCACTTGTGACATCTCGGGCATACCAGGGCCTTGTGTAGCAGTGTAAAACTTGATCTCGTGAATCACTGGTCTTGGCGAATGCCAAGTCCGAGCAGTTTCGGCGTCTTCTTTGGACTGAGAGTGTGACAGTTGGCATGTCAGACCGTCATGGTTCAACATGTTGGGTCGAAGCGATATGAAACACAACCAACAGTCAATACCGTCGGAGAAACTCAATCTACAGGCGAAGTGACGCCCTCTCACGTTCCACGGACCTTCATACTCTTCAGGGAAGACTTTGTTCACTGCAGCTTCAACCAAGTTGAAGTTGCCACCGGATGCGCATCCGAACAAGAAAGAGCCGCATTTGGCCACCCCACACATGCACATTTTTTCCACTGAGTCCTCGGAGCAACTGAGTGTTCAATATTCGCAGGATTCAATGAGTAAATGGATCAGTCTGACTCAGGGATGTCCACTCACTCGTTTACCCGCTGGGTTCAACAAACAACCTGGGACCCGATTGGGATAGTGCGTGGTGCCGGATTTCTTTCTTCAAGAGTATGATTGGAGTCATTCCCAGATCGATGTTCTTCCTGCAGGTCTACAGGCTGTGAGATCTTATTGTTCGGTCCTTGTCCACCCAGGATGGTGGTTCATCACCTGACCCAGGAGCAGGGGGAAAAAGAGTGAAAAAGGGTTCAGCCGAAGACTCCTTTCCCAGGTAGCGCCACTGCAAGTACTGGATTGGTCTCGATCCATGGCCTGTGCAATGAAGACCCGGTCATCCAACAAGTCACCCTCAGACGTCAGCCTCTCTCACCCCACAGAAGGCGCTCATCCTGCAGGTCTTGAGCAGTTTTGATTGGCGCATTTGGCTGGTGGTCTTCATCGTGGGATCAGCCGCGCAGTTTGCACGAAGTGGGTTTGACTCGCCACGCGGACTCGGTCGCCGGGAAGCGGCGAGTCAAGTGGCACTACGGAATCAGCGGCGAGTCAAGCGGCAGAGAGAACAACAGCAGCGAACATGAAGTCGATTTCAGTCTCAGATGTCGAGTCGTCGCTTTTCAGAGTGTCCTGGTGTCCTGGTCGGTTCTGGTAGGATTCGTTAGACAGCTTGAAATTTATCGACATGCTCAAAGAGAGGGGCACGGTGTCAAACCTGAGATTGGATGCGCATTCTTCAACTCGTTGCCATCATGACATCATTACTGGTAAGAAGGAATTTCATAGCCTGCTGCCTATCCAATCCAGATGGACCCGCAACATCCCGCAACCGTTTTGTTGATACTAGAGGCCCACGTGCGACTGAAGTAAGATCTATAGAGAATTATAAAGATCAGATATATTATCAAAACATGCAATGTAGTACTGCAAGGTGATTCAATTCCATTTAATTAGTCAGCACTGCTGTTCAATGTGTTCCTTGGTCTACTTCTTTGATACAGGTACGTACCTTTGCATACCATTTGCCTGTTGATCATTTTTCTCAGTCCATTTCTAAATACATCTAGCAATCTGAATCATGTCATCATGAGTAATGTAGACTCTTGATTAATAAACCCACCCCATTTGAATCGAGAAAAACTTCTTCATATGGGGTGGCTTATTAATCAAGAGACTACATTACTTGCTGGACACCTGGCTGGCCGGTGAGCCTCAGGTTGTCTTGCAGCACAAAGGTCCTCAATCACCAGTTGAGCAGGCCGCGAAGGCGCGCTAGATAGTCTGGTCCCGGTTTGGGGTCGTGATGGCATCCAGAGCTTGTTCAGAATATGTTGGCAACTGATGGGATTCAGTTGTGTCGGTTATTTTTGTGTAGCTTGAACTCCTATTTAATGTATGAAGCTGGTTTGTGGGATTTGTGGGGAGGTCAATGCCGAACCAGGCCATGTTTAAGGGAGTGAAACCATTTGCCGACTTAATTTGTCCAGAAGGTATTGTTTAACTTTTCCCAAAACTTACTGGTGGACACTTCTTTGTCCACCTTGCATGCTGTGTTTGCTGCCCATTTGGCTCAGCGAAAGCTTTCGTCGCAGACTTCTCACGCCTTGCACTTTGAGCATCGCTCTGTGATTTGACTCCTCTTGCGCCATGTCCCAAGAGCACACAGAGCACCTAAGCTTGATGAAGTTCCAAACAGCTGCTAGCTACGCCAAACAGCAGATACAGGCACCGATTCCCTTGCGTCCTTGGCTTGGGGTTCCACTCCCTTGTGTTGCTTCCCACGTGGTGATATGTACATGATGCCCTTTTCGTTGGATGCTTCCCTCAGCCACAAAGACAAGGTTTAGTGATAGATGTTTGAAGATCCCCTGATTACTGTTAATTACATGCCGCAGAGCAGGGGTTGTGGGGTTATGTTTGTTGACCGCTTTGATAGTTATCTCCAAGTTGATAGAATACATTAGAATACACTCGTTTCCTGTTGCAACCTAGTAGCTGTGCTATCTAAGACGCCAGTTTTGAGGGTGGCTTCCCAAGTTGCCCCGACACTCTGAAAGAGCTTGTGTGTGTCATCAAACTTGGAACAAGAGAATTGCAGAACTCATAGAACTTCAGGTGTTTCTGTTTTTTTTTCCGTTCTTGATCATCTCGATGCAAATGAGTCGATCTCAAGGGCATCGCAGCGCTCGAGAAAACGCCCACGCTAAAGTTCCGGTCTTCCAAACCTCTTCAGGTGCCCCTCACCATTCCCTATAAGCGTCCTTTGGTCAACAACAATCCATATGGTGGAATGGCTCCCTTGACCATTGACTCATTGACCCTTAAATTAGTATGTTAAAACCACTCTAATTAATGCAGGCCAATATTCCAAATTCCATCGTTTATGCGCTTTTAGCAAGCAGCTTTTTACCGGCCTATCACCGGTGCCCAACAAAGGTAAAGCGACACGTTTGACGGACTGTTTGACTCGGACTGGACTGTCTGACTCGTCGCAAGCGAACGACGAGGTACATTCAGAGCAAGGTGAATCCCATCCTCGAGAACTTGGTGACCGAGGTCCTTCTGGAGCGTCCCGACAACCCAGCGCCTCGCTGGCACAGATGGGAGGAGACCCCCCGATTTGGTGGGTCAAGATGGAGCCAAAAAGGCTGGGGAAGTCGGGTTTGCTTGTTTAAACGTTGTTCTTTTTTGTGCATATATGACAGGGCAGGCGCTAGACTAGTGGGTGTTGCAGTTCCATCCCAGCTGACAAGAAAGCTCAGAGTTTGCCTCATAGAGAATCAAGAGGACTGATGACTTTGCCCAGCGGGCACCGAGTCTCTCCTTGAAACATGGATTGAAGATGCTGCCCGTGTATTTGTTGCGTTGTCCCATCATCAAACCTGATCAATGAATCTTGTTGACATGGTTCGGCATAGTCAGGCCCAACATATTAACGACATTTAACGACAACGATCGTTACAACATCACCATGTAGAGCGATCACTGTCAACAGGAGCCATCCGCATCCGCATGGTCCGCTGGCTCGCCGCCCAGGTGCCTTTTATGGTCCGCTGGCTCGCCGAGCGATCCAAGACAGGCTCGTTGGATGTGGAGGGAGCACTGGAGCACCGCAGTGCCGCAATCCGGTTCACTGAAGCTTGCACAGAAATACAAGCAAGTAGCTATGGCTCGCAGCAATGGCTGTTCCAAGCGATTGAGGCAAAGAAACAATCCCACGCCATTGAGCCAGGTATGGAAGGTGTGGACATCTCCTGGTTTTCAGCAAGTTTTGTTCACATTTGAGAGGATCACCCCAGGAGAAACACCAGCGTTTTGGAGACAGGGAGCCAGCTAGGGAGACTCATGTGCCAAGTGCCAAGCATCAAGAAAGTTCAGTCGGCGTGTTCCACACCCAGTCGCCTTGTAATCTATGGCAGCTTTGGCCACAAGCTGACACCCCCACTTGACGCAAGGTCTTTCAAGAAACTGCGCAAACAAGAATCAAACCTCACCTACGCCAGAATCGCTCTCAACCCCAGTCGGCCCAGTTCCCACAGCTGGATTTTGACCACGTCACTGTGTGTCCGCGCTTTCAGCCCCCTCGGCTTGCAGGCAAGGAATCTCTCTACTCCTTGGGTGTGGGCGAGGCTGAGAAGCTCCGCAATGAGATCAAGGAGCTGCAGGAGCCCGGGACGGTCCTAGAATGTCCTAGACACGGCCAAAAAGAAGCGAAGACGAGATGGTTTTACGGCCGCAGTTGGATTGCTGCTCACATCAGCCGCTTTTGAGCACACCAGCTCAGCACACCTTCTCAACCCTTGGATCCTCAGACAGTGCCTGGCACCGTTCCTGCCTAGGACGAGATCAAGGTCCTGTCAGACAAGGTGGGAGAAGCGAAGGCCAAGGGTGCTGCCACTTGGATCGGAAGATTTTGTCGCACGAAAGGCACCGAAAAAGACTTAGGCGGTATACCGTATACCGTAGATTTCGTCCAAATAGACGTGGGTTGGAGATCTTTCTTGCTTTAATTAGTCGTTTTCTGGCACCTTTTTACCGGGTCGGGTGAGGAAGACCTCAACGGACATAGCCAGCCTGACCTGTGCCACACCCTGAGGAAACCACGCCTGAGGCGCCTGAGGCCGCTGTCTCGGGCGAAGCCACCGAGAAACCACCCCCGGCGCAGGAGGCACTGGTGTGGAGTTCAATGGGCGGGTAGCTTCCTGTTACTAGTAGTAAGAATGCTACCAACGTAGTAATGCGCTTTGTTACTAGTAGCTTCTTGTTACTAGTTTGTTTAATTGACTTGGTCCACAAGTGAAGTTAAAGGTGACTACCCCGGACTACCCCTAAGGCCCTGTGGTTCGGTCTGATATGACCCCCCCTCCAGACACTAACACGGACCGTGCAAATGACCCCGCTTTGCGCATTAATATATTCCTCTACAACGGAGGAGTCTGTAGAGTCAATAAGCATGAGGGTATACTTTCGGTGGGACGGTATCATCACCGTTCCAGCAATCCCGAAAAAACTCGAGCACCTCCAGGGGCGAACCCTTGAAATTTGCACATTGGCAAGTTGTTCATAATGGGTACTTTAGGTGGGTAGCATTTGGAAATGTAAGGTGGTCCAGTAGTCATCAGTAGTCTAGGTATAGTGACTATATGTGACTTGGACTTACCAAAAGAAGGTCAGAAGGCTCACAGACTCTGGTGCTCCATGGGTGCAAGTCTACATGACTCACCTTGTGACTGTCTAGGTCCCAAGCCCCTTGAGCCTGGACAAGTCCGCATGTGGTCTGGGGTTCCCACTGGGCCCTGCTGTGGGGTTCCCACTGCCCACAAAATGTGCGCAGAAGGCCGAGGCTGCAGAGGAGGCCGAGGCTGAAGAAGCCCAGGAGGAGAAGGAAGAGAAAGAGGAGAAGGAAGAGGAGGCAGCAAAGTGAAGGGATTACTGTATTGAGGGACGGGACATGTCCATTTTTGCCTTATGATCCTGACAGATGGAGCATCATCCAATTTCATGGAACTCGCCCTACTCATGAGGGGTTAGGAATATGCAAGGCTGAACAAACTTAGCGACTGTTCTCTTGTTGTTTTCTTTCCCTGGCCCCGGCAACGATTGACCTAATTCTGCTGCTTGCTTTATAGACAACATTGCTTACACCGCACAATGCCCGTTTCCTGAAGAATTGTTGGATTTTGGCTGTTGTTGTGTGTGTGTGCGTGCGTGCATCTTTTCCACCAACCCTTGTCGATATGTTACATGCCGGAATCATTGTTGCATTTACTTTGTCCGAATTCGATTGAGCAACCATTTTTGTCCGGCTAGGACAGCGATGAAGACGAGGACGACTTTGGAGATGAAGACGATGATTGGAAGCCACCAACCGCCTATATGAAGAAGGGACAGCGAGGCGCCACCACGCAAAAAAAACAATGTTTGAAAGACGTGGCGATGACGGCTCACAGCGGGTTGGAAGGTTGGAGGAGGCTTGGAGAAAGGCAACACATCTTGGCAAGACTCATGGATTTTTTTGTCAAGTATTTTGAGGCGTCAGGGAGGATGCGCGGAAAGATACTGACCCGAAGGGCAAGGAAGAGAGCATCTCTTAGGTAGCAATCGAGTAAAGTCTTGACGATTTGCGGAAGTCTTAAGTCGGGACAGTAAGCCCAGTGGATGCGAACACACCCTGGCCCGTCAATCGCACCCCTGTCTTGAGCTATACATTCCTTACATCCTCTTACATCCCGAGCTACAAGCCTGAGGGGATAAGTCATTCAAGAATATCTTATTGAATGCAACACCTTATATGTATATATGCACGTCCTACACCCGAGAACACCCACGAAAGACCCTGACCCACACGTTTGGCCATGCCATGTTTGGCCTGGCCATGTCGGATGGCTCATCCGCCATGGCGTTTCGGAGCCCACCCGGTCGCTGCCAGGCTCGGTCTCCGCAGAGGCCTACGGCGCCTTCAACGAGAAGAAGGCCTTTGAGCCACCGGTCTATGAGAAGAGCACAGAGCAGGCGCAACGATGAAACGGCCAAGAGAAAACACCGTAGACTGCACTAGAGGGAGAAACATTTTTTTTTAAACGCAGGTAAGGTTTTTATTCGCTGAGCTTGCTAAGAATGTGAGCAACATGCAGTTGTTATCTCACATTTTATATCTCCCGGCAGAAGGTTTGCGGCAACTAGAAAGAGCCTCAGGTTTCACATACGGCGTACATGAAACATGACCGGCCTATGGATCCATTGCCACCCTTGGAGAGGGTGATTGGAGACACTGGGATTGTAGGCGCCAGGAGGCTTCAAGTACTTTTTGAGATACTTTTGGAGGCTTCAAGATACCGCACAATCCCAGTACTTCCACATACAGACAAGGGATCCCTTGAAAGGGGCAGAAACTTGGCATGTCTTGGGCTGGGAATTCGACGATGGGGCCCCGATGGGGCCCTGGGGCCGAAAAGAAAGAACAGCAAATTGAACTGTGATTTGATTGACTAAGCCAGGCAGTTGTTTGTAGTTGGTTGTTGCAAATAAATAACGGAGTATACTATATACCTATTATACATATACTCGCTATGCCTTGCTCCATGAATCACGTGAAGAACTAGATATCGCTTTTGATGGTCATGACCCCGGAGCCCTGCAACATGTTTGGTGCGATGTTTGGTGCGAGAAACCCGATTCGGAAGTCGAACGGAGAATGCGGATGTTTCAATCTTAGCCACACAATGATTTATACCCTTGAGGAGATGGCAACTTTGTTTCAGAAGGTAGAATGTTTCAATCTTTGGGCTTTGAACACATCCTACTTACCTACTTCAGAGTGAAAGCTATAGGCAGCAGAAGCGCATTGTTGACAGGAGTCCCGCATCAAAGATGTCCTGTCCAAGAGCTTCTTGTTCAATGCCCTCAGCACCTGTGTTCATGGAGAGGGCTGTTTTTGGAGCGTGGGTGATGCGGGTTTTGCCCCTTAGTGACGGCAAGTTCGGGTAAAGTGTCAAGAAATATTGTAGTATCTAAGACTTCCTCATGACCACCTGGCCAGGGAAACTTTGTGAGGAGCTACCAGAAGGTGCTTTCCACAAAACCAAACGGAAGCTCCTGAAACTGGAGTTGTCCCGCAATGTCCACACAACACAAGAAATGACATGCACTTGGGGCAAGAGGAAGTCCTCCACTTTGGTACTTTTTGGACTTCCTGTTTGTGCCGATGTGGGTCCATCCAGAGCCGATGGACGAATCGGCGATTCGGCTTGCAACATGGAGCTGTCCCCAACCTTGGCGCAAACTCCGAAGTTTGGTAGGTCGTTGGGACGTAAAATGTGAGGGTATATATATATATATGAATCACATATCAGGATCATCCAATGGGTGTCCAATAGACTACCCTACTTATAGGTCTCCAGACGGGGCACCCATTGGAAGTGCTAGGTATGAATCGCTAACGCTTCGCAGCGCGGAGACCGTCACTTGTTTTCAGCAGAGGTGACCGGGGCACCTGATACGTCCAGCCATGGCGGCCCATCCGGCGGGCGAGAGGTAGAATCAAATGCTTCAGTGTGCATGGCTTGTCCATGGCTCTTCAGCCTCATGTTCTTTGTCACGCTTGCCCAATGACCAACAAGCCTATATATATATATACAAGCCTTATATGGTGAATATACCATTGTATACTAGGCTAGTCCAACTGCAAGTCAACTTGCAATAGGTTTCCAATGCTCCACCTTTGCTTCTCATTACTGCTTTTTTGGTCAATCTTGTCGTTTGCTTTGCCTTGCGATGTCAACCATCGTTTTTCGTCCGATGACTGTTCCAAGGCAAAGACGACTTGAAGGTGATTCTGGATGCCTTCTTAGAGAAGAAGATCCCCGCCGGTGAACGCATCATCCAGGAGGGTGACGACGGCCACTCAGAACGACGAACAGATACTCCAGAGAATGGGATGGGTCCGATGGAAATCCTGAAGCAGAGGTACAAATATAGCGAGCGAGCTTCACCGACCGACGCCAGACAAACATGGACCTAGTCTCCGTCGGGGCTGACCCATTAAGACCCAAATCGATCCATCCAGCTGGAACACGAGGCATTTCTCTCGGCATCTCTTTCGGCTCTTTGTGGATCAACGGGGGGTCCACGTCCGGGGTCCACGGAACAGGCCGTTTTTCCTGACCAACGGAGTTCGGCATGGTTTGTTCGCCCGCCAAGAATCACCCACCGACCGTGACCGCTCAGGTGATGTGATGTTCCTCATTGAGTCTGGTGCCTTTGATTGCCCCTCCGTTCGCAGAAGTGGATGGGAGCAGCGGCCATGGGCTGGGTTTTGGGTGTGGTGGAATTCTGCATTTGGTGTGTGCCGGGCAGCACAGCAGGCACACAGTAATGGACCCGTTCTGTAAAGACGCGGACATTCCTCGTTTGCATGTGCCGTATTTTCAGAGTAGATGGCACAACCTCCTAGTTAGTTCAATGCCGTTTAAAATTGAGTGGAGTCGTTTGCAATTGCTATGCATTGTATTGATATTGAGCATCACCACTGTTGCAGAGAGGGGCTAGGATCCATTTGTCGGCTTCATGTGGGCATGCTCTGCGGACAGACGTCCCTTTAGAGTCACACCATGCCACACACACACACACACACACACTCACGCTCACTTTGCGGCAGTCCTCGAGGAAATGTCCTCCACAGCAGAACCACAGAAGACATGGTGTATAATGTTTTAAGTAGTGCCATTACTTGCTTACATGCGATATATAATGGTTATATACCTATAAGTGTAACATACCTATTGACACATCATCCCACTAGAAGTATGGGGGCTTCTCCGAGTATTGAAGGCAAAAATGATATTCCTTGTGATGCCAGCATGCCAGCATGTCAAAGACAATATCCACTTCCCATTACAGCGATAGCCCATGCTAGTCATATCCAGTTGGCCAAACAACATGGGCAGCTTCCATTCAACACATTAGCTTCAGTTCGGAAGCTGGGTAACGTGTCCGCCTTTGGCACACCTGGCTGGCATGCCTGGCACACTTGCGGCACACCGCCGTTGCTGCAACATACTCCCCTGCAGATTAACATGGACCCCAAAACCACTGGGTTGTAGAGGAACATGGTCTTCCACAGGTCAATTCTCAGGTTCTATGTTAGTTTGCGGGGGGGGGGGGGGATACATGTATTTAGGAGATCTTTTTCTTGTGCCTTTCCCGTACTCCCGTACTCACCATCAGCATCCTGCATCCACCAGTGCCTTGCGCCGATCGGTGGTTTTTTGAGGCATCAAGAAGATTGACGGTTCGGACAAGGTGGTGAAAAAGTGTGGACAAGGCTTGGGCATAGCAACTCTTAGTCTTTTCTGTGGAGCATGAGGTCTTACTGTTTTCGGAACAAGTTCTTTTCAATCACTTGCTGTAATGTTACTCTTGTCACCAGCTGAGATGCACATAGCCAGTTAGTTCCTACTCCAAAGTGTTTTTCAATGGGTGTTTTCTTCATGTTCATGTCTTTTTCCTACCGTCCAACGTTCACCCAGCATCCACCACGCCATTTTTATTCTGCGAGAAGCACTTTCACAGCGTCCCTCAAGGGCGGCGTCCCGCGGCGAAGCCGCCGCGGTTTCGCCTGTAGGCGATGTCTTTGGCGAGTTGGCGCTGCTGTACAACTGCCCACGCGCCGCCTCAGTCGAGGCCGACCGGGCTGTTGCGGTGTCCCGGTGTAACCGGGGACGGGACGGTTAGTAATTAGGAAGCTGAACATGTCCAACAAAAAAGGAGACTTTGTTCTTGGAGTTTTTGGAGAAGGGTGGTGTAGACATCTTGAAGTGCAGCGCAGTGTTCAGAAAGGCTTGGTGAAATGATTGGGCCCCCCCCACAGTTGCAAGATTGTGCGAGCTAATTATTGATGCTTCTATTCAAACATTGACTTGAAATCTGATGAACTCCGCGCCCAGAAGCCGCAGGCCACGGAGGAAGCCGTGGTGTGGCAGCTGGACCGTGAGACCTTCTCGCACATCGTACGCGACGCGAGCGCCAAGCGCCGCGAAGCCTTTCAAGACTTCCTGACACTTGGACAAGTGGTGGTGATGGTGGGTTCGGTTGGTTTCATGGTTGAGTCAGATCCAAGCACCCCTTTCGGAGCCTTTTTGGATCGGTGGACGGGTGGGTTGGTTGGTTTGGGTGGTTGGGTGGGTCAGTGGGCGAAACAAGTTGTCAGATGTGCCACTTGTTGAAAGAACTCCTCAAGTCGTTTGACCTATACATTTGATGTCGAATGTCCATGGCATTCACAGTTGATCAAGATGAAAAGACCGGAAATGGAACTCAGGGACTTTTGAGTTGGCAGGTCACGGTCCCAGGTCTCTTTCGGACATGTTAACACTTTGCCGAGTGGAGTGTTGCGACCCACTGAGTCGCTGAGGAAGACTGTGCCTTTGTTCAAGACTTTGGAGAGCTATGACTTGATGTGGCTTGGCTTGTCTTCGAAGCGGAGCGAGCAGATCAAAGCATGATGAAGATAAGGAAGGTGTTTGGTAAACGTGTTTGTGTCCCTGAAAATCCTGTGAGGTCAAAGACTACAGTACTGCACTTGATTAAAAATCCTTTTGAATCGTTCACAAAGTCCCTTTAATGTTAGTGCGTTCTTCTCGGGACCAGAAGAGAGGCCGCAGGTCCTGGTTTTTTCACCCACTTTCGACCGGACCGGCCACACCTTTCAACCGAAGCCCGAAGACCTCAGGCAATTGGCCGATTGCTTGCAGCAGGAGGGCCTGGAAGCTGGACAGTGGCTGCGGCGGAAGGGTTGGACGTGGGGTTCGCCTCGAAGAAGGATAGATGCGCAGGATGGCAGGCCGTGGGAAACATGGTGTGACACGCCTTTCAGATAACAAGTGAAACCGGCTGGTGCCAAGAATCCTGTCCTTTCACCGGTTCCCTCGGCTAAATGCCTTAAGAAGGCGGCGCATCCGGTGAATGTCAATGACCAGAACATACTGGACATGATCACGTGGTCCTTGGTATTCCAGTGGACCATCTGAGATGGAGTCCCTATAAGGTTCATGACTGATCCATGCAGCCCTAGATTGGGGTGAGCTAAAGCTTTGAAAGCATGCGATTATTTTGAGGATGTGGCCGGCTGCTTGCAGGTCATGGGGCTGGTTGTGCATTTCAGTATCGTTTCAGTCGTGCAATTTGCTTGGCAAGAGGCAACCACGGGAACTTCTTACCTATGGAGATGTTACAACTTGTTGTGTGTTTGTTTTATTTTCGCATTTGTTGTTTTTGGTTTTGATTGGTTTGGACAGGTTCTGAAGGAAGATCATAATATTTGCGAAATTGCGGTGTATTCATCTATCATCAAACTCTTTGGGCTGACGGTGCCAGTCGTGTTGTCTCATAAAACACCCCCTCCTTTGCAGAGGCACTGAACTCGATTATGTTGTCAACCGGGAACAATCACAGGAGCTAAACCCACTTGGAAATCATCACCTGGCCAGCCTGGGCGCTGACCGTTCTGGATCTTGCACCAAACACGCCCCGGCTAGTTTCTGCCAGACCCTGAAGCGGACACACCTCACACCCCGCCACCGCTTTCTCCAATCTTGCCTCATGCACCAAGGAAGATTATCAACCAGGGCGACCCAGGAGACACCTTCTACATTGTGCCCTGAAGTTGCAAGAGAGGATGGCCCATGAGGAGAGATGAAATGGGGCGCATGGGGCCTGGAGGCGGTCATGGAAGGACCACCTCGGGGCTATGGGGCCGGAATCCAGCATTCTCGGGGGGTGGGGGTTGTGAACTGGATGTCCATTGCTTGCGTCCTGCCCCAGGTTTCTCCCTTCTGTGTGGAGAAACGGAGTCTTCCTAATGTCATTTCGCAGGAGATTGCGGGTAGTTTGCCTCAAAAGGTAAAAAAGAACACATGAAGCGCAAGTTTAAGAGGTTAATGTTCTGCAGCCATGACAGCCTATTGCTTTCCCATGCTCCTTCCAAAGCAACGCACCAGCCAGACTCCCACCGAGGTGGAGGAGGGCGAACTCGTGGCCACCAAGAAGCGTGCGGATGGCAGCAACGAGGCAGGGATCCCAGGTCCGGTGGTCCCTACAGATCCCAAGAAGGTGGTCCCAGATGCCTCCACGAGGTTTTGTTCTTCTACAATCTCCTTCGAAGGTTCTACGGTATCAGCCTTCTTTTGTTCGGTGGTTGATGGATCATTTATGGATATTTATGGTGCTTTGGCCGACCGGAGCGGTTTCGAAATACGACCCGACCCGACCCCTCCACCGACCCATTTCAGGAGGTCTTGGACTACAAGCGCGGGGACTTCTTTGGCGAGCTGGCGCTCATCAAGAACGAGCCCCGTGCCGCCACGGTGCGGCACCGGGCCGGGCGTGTCCATGGCATCGATCCGCATCCGATCCGCGTCCGGGATTGAAACGGAGTCATTGGGAAGAAGGAAGCATTTGTAGGTGGAGTAGGGTGGAGTAAGTATAAGGATGCTCAATAATACTTGTTTCTGTTTGTCGCAAGCATTTGAACGCCGGCGCAGGTGGAGGCCAAGACCGCGTCCAAGATTTGCAGCTTGACGTTGGTGGAGGTGAATGGTGCACTCGGGTGGATTGATTTGCTCTTCAAAAACCATTTGCAGGTGGGGTGAGGGACATAGTTGAGCCCTTCACTTGAACCTGGATCATTAGACTGGCTTAGTTTCAATAATAGTCTTCATCTGAGAATCTCTATGTGTCTGTGTGTCTAAACCTGGGGGTCTTTCCAGAGACATTGGACACTTTGCTATAGACACGAAACGCTCTAGCGGCTGGCGTCGCACGTTCTACACATTCTGTCGTGGGCATTTCTTGATCGTCTCACATCGCAGAGTTCTACAGGAGGTGTTGGCTGGGTGAATTCCTCAGATCTTCCCCAGCAGGAAGATCAGTTCTCAGATCCCAAAGACGAGTGACTCCAATGATCACAACGATGGACGACTCAATCACTCGGATGATCACTGTATGTGTGTTGTGTTTTGTTCGATGTTTTTCTTGTTTGGGGGACGGCACCGCCGAGGTGGTTTCAAACTCGGACGAAGAACTCGGAACACTGGAATATATCCAATGATATTCCCATGGTTCCTTTGATGAAGTGGAGACTGATTGCCATGTGCCCATCCCATCAAAGGCATGGTGATCCAGCGGGCGCCGCTTGTTCGGTCGGAAAAAGGGCGCCGATGTTTGTGCCCAGACCCCCCAGCCTTAAATGCTCCGACCGCACAACTGATGTGAATCGGTGCGCTGTCAAAATGAATGAACTCAAGATATTATTCCAGGCTCACCCACTTTTCAACGTTTAGTTTGTTTAAGACTGTGTTCTTTGTGGCCAAGGCTGAGGCAAAGTGGTACTTCTATCCAAGTTGGAAGTTGGGGCATTCCCTCAGCCGGCTTCGTGGCTTCGGCCGTTTGTGAGGCAAGATCGACCGTAAATCCTTCAAGCCACCTGTCTGATATTAGGGTTCCTAAGGTTGCAGGTGGCAGGTCCACTTGAGAAGGTGGCAGGTCCACTTGATTGGTTGCAGGTGGCAGGTCCTTTGAGTCCCTGAAAGTTGAGAATGGGGTTTGTTTGTGAAGGTGTTCTTGCTTTTGGGGATGCCAGAGCACCATGCCGGGTCAAGGTGACCCATTTCAGTGCCGGTGGACAAATGTGACGTTATGAAGGTCATTGGTCAAAGCCAGGTCCATCACACTGTTCAAGTAGACTGTTGGGGGGCAAAGCCGCCTAAAACCGTATCCATAGAGTTGTTTGTATCAAAACAAGCCTGTGGTGGTGTTCATAAGTATTTGCAGATGCACTACCGTACCGTGATTGCTATCAAGTTGAATGTGTTCGCACTATTGCACTGCTTGAAAAAGAGTCTGAAGTTGCCCTCCCAGGCCTCCCAAGCACCACTAGCGCAGTAAGCACTGGAATTCTATGTTTGTTCTAGATGCATTTCAGGAGCTGAAGAGGTGTTTTACTTTGAAGGCTTAACCGCTATAATGTTTATTGGACAACTTACCTTGCTTGATACAGCAGAGTACACCCACTTGCTATAGGTATCGGTATCATCCTTTTAGGGTCTTTCATCACATCCATCCCGACAGCCAGGAACATCTTGGGACAGCTGGAGCCCCAATTCAAGGAGGCTGCGGCCAAGTATAAGCCATGAGCTGCCTAACAGGGTTGACCTTGGCCAGCCCATATGGCCACAGCCGGCCACGGCTACCAATTCGAAATGTTTCGATCGCCGAAACATCAAATCCTTCCTGCAACGAATGGCTGGGTGGAAGCGACAGGGGGGCCCTTATTTTGAAGGGCGAGCCCCTGCTTCACAGACTACGCATCCATCAGTGCGCCATGGCAGTCAGGGCCAAAAAGATGGAGCAATGGCAACAAGACACACAATACATGCCACTTATCTTCATACTGCACTACTTAAATGTGTGTCATGGAACTTGCTGGTGTATGAACTTGAGCTTTCCACCCTGCTTCTCACTGACTGACTGTTTCTACCTACCTCCGCACCTGTGGATCCTTCCGGCTGGATTTCAATGTTCTAGCTGGATTCAACAGATGCAGAGTGTCCAGTCGACCTTCTCGAAGCAATGCCGGCAACCCAGCATCAAAAGAGCCCACACGAGCTGCATGGTCGAAGCTGCAAAGTTTCAAAAGTTGGCCGGGTAGCATCAACATGCAAGAGGCTTCTGACATTTGAAAAGGGGTTTATTCGTTTTACTTATGTTCTACCTAGTGACTCTGCCTCACCCAAGATGTGCTTATTATATAGATACACATGTCCCAAGACCTTTGAACAAAAGACATTTGTTTTACCTGTTTTTTCTGGATTCTCCTTCCTGGAGAGCCATATGGAACCTTTTGATCCTTCATTGGTGAAGCCCAACCTGCACGGTGCGCCCACCAGGTGGCCAAAGCCGCGCGGAGACACCAAGAAGCCGGCGAGCACAAGGCTGGTGGATCGACCAGAGTCGCCAATGATTCGATCATCATCATCATCATCATCCACTGTGTATATACCCCATAGGGTCCAGGTACCTGCTGAGGATGGTCTTGGAGGTGAAAGTACTTCCAGAGAATGGTCTTTGGGGCCAAAGGGCATCCTCAGGATGGTCCTTGACCCTTAGGCCACTGTATACATATAACTAATTATACTAATACATATATATTAATATAGTATGTGTGGATTCACTATGTGCATTATAAACATAATAGTCATATATTTTCTATTTTTTATGCACACACAAAAAAGGCGCAGGACGCAATCGAGTACTGGGTTGCTATGCTGTACATTTGGCGGCTTGTTCAAGTTGTTGCGTTTTTCTCAACCAATTAGTGTTCATGATCAAACACAGTGTGGTGGAGTTTGCTCCCAGCGAATAATGAACAATTTCTTCCACACACTGGGTACGTTGCACTTGTATGCTTATTGGTTGTCAGCATGCTACGGCAGTACTTCTCCTGCATAGGTAGGGCATGACAGGTACGAGGATTGTTACAGCATGTTTTGTCAGGGCAATGGACCAATGGAGCAGAAAATGTTAGACAGACTGAGTAGCCCTGCATCTCGATGTATATGTTTGATGACCACGGTGTTGAGCTTTTCTTCAGGCTGAAGCCCAGCAATGCCTTGGGTTCACAAAGTTGAACCTTAGCTACCAAAGACACTTGTCCTATTGTTATTTTTAAGCAGAGCTGGTCTATAGAACAAATGTACAACAACGGACATCATGTAACTATATATGCCGGTCACAGGAAGTACTTCATATTTGTTTGTCGTCATATAGTTATATGATGTTATACATAACACAAATATTCCTTTTGCAATCTGCCTTCCATGATTTGATATGGCCCCGTTTATCAGCAGATGTGCATGTGCCCTACGCATGCATACATGCGGAGGTTGCATACATGCTGCTGACTCGTGGGCTTCGCCTTTTAGGCAGGAAGACTGCGCCGGCACGTTCTACCCCGCTTCCTGGTCGACAAGAGACTCCCCAGTCAGAATTAGACATCACGAGCATTGGCACGACCCCGCAGTCGACTGAGCCAAAGCGAGCCCAAGTGACAAAACGTTCGGGGACGCGAGCCCAAAGCGAGCCGCTGCGGATCCGCGGGAGGCGCCTTCGATAAGTCGTCCGACGGGGCTTCCAGCCCGGAGTCCAACAGCTTGCTGGAGCTCCGGCGGCGGCGTGCCAGCATTTTGCTAAAGAAGGCCTCAAACGGTGGTGGTCCCATGTGTGGTTGGTGAGTGTGGAGAGCGGGGATGATTCTGGGGTGACTGCAGCATTGTTGGTGCTTATGACAGTAACATACAGTAACCATGGCATATTGGTCATGCGCGAGGGCTCGAAATGACAGATTTGGTGGAGCTTTGTGCTGACTTTTGGTGTTATGAATATCACAGGAAGTTCTTGGTGTCCTTCGCTTAAACCAGTGATTCTGCAGAGGAAGTTCGTTTTCCCTGGGCCTCCACTACTTTGCAAGCCGGAATTCTTACTTTGTTCATTTGTATCCGCCCCACGAAACGGGCGATATGGACCAGCTAGATGTGTTTCATCCCTTTGACCGAGTGGGCCAGTGCTATGACTGGCACCAGCCCCAACACCTTCGGTTGGGCCGGCCCACTTGGCAAACTTCCCATGCTGCAGGGCTTCAACAAGGCCTGCGTGGAGGAGAATCGAGAATAGAGCGGCATGGCCCATGGCCGAAGAGCTGTGAATTGGATCCACGTGGATGTGAGTTCTGTTTTCCCTTTATTGTCATGAACAGTTTCCAAACCACAGAATGGAAGCCTGATGGACTTGTAAACCATGGGATTTGGCTGGTTTACTCTCCACTCTAGACTGTGGGCGTGTTATTGGAATGTATCGAATCCAGATAATCTTACCTGTGTTGGATGTCCTCTTAACCCTCACTGAGAGGGGCTTGTTGAAACCGCGCCAGACATCGAAGGAGTGTTCCTTGTTGGGTGCACCAGCCAGTGGCGGGCTGAGAGCACAAGCCTATGCCCAGATGGGAGACTGGAAAGCGGCGAAAAAGGCTATGGAGGACGGACTTGGATTGGTTTCTGGGCCGAGGCTTGCTCAGATATTTCATGATATTTGGGATCATGTGGTGTTGCACAGTTCCTTGCTGTTGGGACTTTATAGTGTCAACTCGGATGTGGATCAAGTGGCACTAATACCCAATTCATCGTGACCACGTACACCGCAGGAGCCCAGGGTGCTACAGTGGACCTGTGAGCACGTGGGCATGACCTTTCCAATGCTCGTGGACTTGGGTGCAAGGCGAGGAATGGAACACGCGGAGACGTAGTCCAAGAAGGTATTACGTAGCAAGGAGTGAAGGAAGGGAAGCAAGGCTGGGTTCCGTTCAAAAAAACACAAAAAATCGACATGAATGTCGGTTGACATCATATTATAGTCACAGATAGTCACAGTATAACTATTTTGGTATGCATTTGTTGCACGTTTGTTCTTTTGTCACTCAATTAGGTGCTTCTGAAACCGGCAAGCCGCCCGTCCGGCTAGATGGGAGACGGATCCCGTCCTCGAAAGCGGGCCGGAGGGGCACAGAGCCGTTTGTTCACGAATCAGCTTGTGCTTCCGGTGGTAAGGCCCGGCATTACGGCACCCCGTGGGTCGCATGTAGAGCCCCCAACCTCCATTGACCTCCAGAGTAACCTCCATTGACCTCCTCAATCCTCCAAATCTGCCAGCAGTTCCATGGAGTTGGGTGGAAGTCAGGGTAACCCCTGTCACATCCACTCACTGGATGGGACGAGCCACACCAACAGTAACCCCTTTGTGACCCCTGTTGGACACTGGTTACTTTAGAGATGTTTTTGGAGGTGTCTCATTTCGACAAACTATGGGGCGATGGAGAGAGAGTGGCCTGCAGAGTCAGGGTCATGGTATCGAGACACGTGAGATCAACCGGCGTGCCGCCCGTCGTGCTGCCAGGCAAAGCTCCGGTGAGATCGATGTTCTGAACCTGATGGGTGCGGGGTTTGACGTGGGGAGAGGGGAGGCCGTCCGTGTAGGCCGTCCGGGACCTTGAGGTGTTGCAGAACTTTTTTTGTGTTGAAGAGTGGCATCCAAAGTGAGCTGAGACCAGCGAGCTTGTTGCGAGGAGTGAGCAAGCATGCTGATTCGGGCAACTTTGTTTCGGGAAAGTGTTCCAACATCCAAGACTGCCAGATTGATTTGCTCGTGTTGATTCTTGGGCTTACAGTTATACTGGAGTGGGCGGGGGTGAGTGTTTTTTTTGGGTGGTCGTTGCTTTGGGCATGGGCATCCCTTTTGGGGCTTTCGCCCACCCAGGCGTTTCCACCTCCGAAAGTCATCACTGGGTGTCACGGGTCCCACGGAAAAAAAAACCATTAAAAAAACCTTCGAAATCTGTGTGGGAGACCCGAACCTCGCAGCTCACCCGAAGAAAGACTCTCCAGGTGGTGCCAGCATCATGCAACACGTGGTGGTACCTGAGGACATGGGTCCACTGAGGTGTGGTGGGAAGGGGCGGAAGGTGGCTCGGGTGGTGGGAAGAGCTCGGGTGGCGAGTGTGGTGGGGGTTCGACTTTCGGAGCCCAAGGACACACGGGCCCGCTTCTAGGCCAGCTTCACTATCGGAAGTGCCATGGACCGTAATAGATCGCAAGTGGCTTTGGAGTAGGTTGTGGTTCTTGATTGTATTGTCGGAATTCTCCGATCTGTTTGCGACATCTGGAGGATGTATTGCAAACAAAAACAGCCTCAGGTCTCCCTTTTGCAGCCTACTCATCCGCAGGCTTTGAAAATTCTTAGTTCTTAGTCAGACATGGAGACATGGATCCAATCTGAAATGCTGATATGATTTGAATTTACATGAATTTACAGAAGCCACAGAGCACTAGCAAAAAGACCTTCGCCTATTTTCCATGAGCCCCGCCAGGCCCCAAGGCCATGTGGATCACCGTCCCCGAACCTCATCCAACCTCCGCATCCTGCAGGTTCGAGTCCTCGAAGCTGGAGCGGAAAGAGCTTCCTGGACGCGGCCTCGGGGTCGTGGCGAAGGCGGCGGCACGCGCGTCCCACGCGGTGGAAGACGCATCGCATGGGATCAGGATACTATGGTGCCCAGGTTGCAATGCTTTGTTCTCAGGTCGTAAGACGTGGAATGCGGTCACAGCAAAGATCCCAGCCCGCAGCTGAAGAGTTAGTTCCCGAAATACACCAGATGATGAACACTGTAGCTGCTATAGCTGGCAAGAACCATCCAGAAGATATGCAGGATACTATATAGGACACACTTCCATCCCTTCCCCCAAAAGGTTAAAATGTGGTCGGTCCACCTCACCAAGAACTTTCAATAGATTCAAAAGGGGTGCCGAACTTGGAGGAAGTCTGGGTGCCACTGTCACATTCACTCACTGGATGGGACTAAACACCAACACCACCCCAAAACGGCCCTATCGCTCTATGACTCCTGGTTCTAAGATCTTCACATTGAAGTTCTAGGTGCAGTGACTCCTGTGTCACAGTTCTAGTCAGTGTCACACATGAACCATCCGGACAACACTCCTGGTTCTTCAGGGGTGACAACCGGAGGCCGACATTGCCCTCGGCGAGCTGCTCATCGCCGCGCGGCCCATCGAGCTGATCCGCCCGGGCGATCCCGACTGGTCCGGGACGCCCGGGCATCAGCGGGGGTTTTCTGTGTGTGTGACTGACATGATAAGGGGATTCTACTATATACATGATAAGGGGATTCTACTATATATGGGGGATACTGAAGAATGTTTTTGTTCTTCAAAGGGGATTCTACTCTATACATGATTCTCTCCCTCTCTCCATCAGCAAGCAAGCGGCGGAGGATGCTTCATGTCTAAAACAAATCAACAATTGCACTGGCGATGTGACGGGATAACTCCTTGAAGCTCCGGCTTTACAGGATTGACTCGGATTGGCAAATGCCCCAAGCGATAGGTCTATAGAGCATCCTAGAGCAAGAACGCCCAAGCGTTGCAAAAGATTCGGCTCATCCTTTCACCAATTCGCAAACGCTTATTTTGATCTCATAATTTTATGAATTTTGAAGGACGTTGCAGGCTGCCAATGTTTTTCTTTCAGACTTGAGCCTTTGCGCAGGCAAGTCTGCCAAAACATAAGAGAGATCCTTCGCTTTTCAACAGAGCTGTTCATCACATGGGTGCCAAGGCAATACCAAGCAGATATGGCCTACTTGGAGGCTATTGAGCTGCATGGGAAGGGACAGTGATGGAGGGCAAGGGAGAGAAATTAGGCCCATTTGGCTGCAGACTCCTTTTGCAATGAACTTTTACTAACCTTCATTGGCTCAGATTGAAATTGAACGGTGGTGCAAGTGAGACGACTTCATGTTGTCCTCACGAAATGGCGCAAATCTTGTTTCACCAATTTGGATGACAGAGATCTTGTATCCGTGATCCTACATGAAACGTAGGAGGAAAGCAATTCTTGGTGCCCAAAAGGGGGGGCCCTCACAATGCCTCACAACAAACCTTTCAGTCTCGTACCGAAGACACCACCTATCGAGCATGCCTTGGATGATCTATTCATCCATTGCCCATTGCACTGGTACTCGTATTTGCTGAACCCTCCCTGGCGGAATAGTCAACTCATCAAGAGAAATTGAAGGCTCCGTTACTTTCCTCTATTAAAAAAAGGATCAACAAGGCAAGAATAAAAAAGGATCAACAAGGCAATATTTATTCAACTTCCATGACTGGGGAGTGTCAAACCAGCCGCCTCCTCTCGACCGGCCAAACGACTGGCGCGGAGGAGGTGCTGACGCGCCGGCTGTTGCACCGGTGCATGGACTGCGATGCTTCATGCATTGAGGAAGTCTTTAGCCTTTTCGATGGTCAGGCGGAGCTGAGTCGGACGTGGGATGGCACGGACGAAGGGCTTGCTGACTTGAAGGAGGGCGAGCGGGCAAGCAGGACCTGGCGTGCATTGAGGGTTTGGTAGTGAACGTAGTGACCTGGTGATGGATAGTCTTCAGACCAAGATGGCTGGCCTTGACTTCGGTTCAAGTCTTGTTATATGAGTGAGGTTATTGCTTGGAGCCGTTGAATTGTTGGTGTAAGAACACAAACCTACTGAGAGTGTGCGCCCAGATCGCCTCCCTAAAGCATCGAACCCCATGCAGTTGTTGGTATTGGATTGGAGTCCTGGACACTGGAGCCCCAGAGTCAAGATGGAAAACATCTAAAGGAGCTCACTGACAGCCAAGTATAGGACATCTTCCTTCAACCCCAAAGAATCCCCAAAACACACGGTCATGAAAAAATACTCCATCCACCCGTCCCATCCTCCACTCCACCCTCCGGATCCAGGGCCACGGCGCCCGCTGGGCGCCGCACGCCTGGCGCAGCGACGACTTCGCGCTGCCCATGCCGCAGGGCGCCGCCTCGGCGGAGCTCTACGCTCGGCTGCGAGGCGCGGCCCGACCGGTGGAGGAATATATATATATATATATTTATTTATTTATATAGGTTTGGAAGAATCCAATGAAACTGAGGTCACGCAGGCTTTCTTTAGGCTTAAGCATGTTTTAAGTTTGAGGTTTTGGTATGGTGTGGTGATGTGGAGGGCATGTGTCCAAACAACTATGGGAGGCAGGGTGGTTGCAATAATAGGCTTTATATCAGATGCCTTAAGTGATAGCCCGATAGCCATGTGTTTCAAAATAAATCTATTTACATTCTTGCTGTCACGTTACTGCCATCCCAATTGCCATCAGAAGTGTTTCTTCAATACCTTCACGGTACGCTCCCTGAAATGGAAGTTGATGGCACCATTTGTTTGGTATTTGGATTTTGTCATCCTTAACTTGGACCGTCCAAGCCATCCACGAGGATTTCAGGGAGTGTAGGTAGCTCCTGGCTTTGTCCTTGCCAAAGAATCAAATCACCCCGCTCGTTTTCACAGCAGCTCCTTCAGGTGTGGTGAAGCACAACGTGGGGCGCTCAGATTGCGCCGTTTGGACGTCACCGTTTGAACATCTGAACGGGTCTTTGGCCATTGTTTCGAGCATGGCTAATTGGTGCCTCAGTCTGTCATTTGTGATAAATGCATGGAACAGATTGTTTTCCTATGTGTTCCTATGTTTTTCCCCAAGAAGGGCTGTGTGAATGGCATCCTAGGAAACAGCATGAGACAACCACGGAAGCCTTTTGAAGAGTTCGCCGGTCTCTAAAACTCGAGGCAACAAAATAATCTCAACTGCGCCGGCACCCTTTGTTTGAACAGCGTTTGGACGTGGTTGCATGGGATCACTTACAACTCTAAGACTCCAAGTGCAGTGTAACTCGTTGTTTGTAACTCGTGCAGTGTAGGTGTCCATACGCAGACACTTGGATGTTGGGAAACTTCTGTCAAGGCTTGGGCATCAACAAAAAAAACCTACCAGGTTTTATTTGACTTCTTGATGCATTTCACACCCCGATGCCTTAAGTAGGGCCTGAAGCTGAGCTGACATTGGATCTCGAGGCCCACCGTTGGCCGGGAAAGCATCCCAGCTCCAGCCTGCCAGCGCCCGGTCTTGGCTTGTGGCTTTGGCCTCCGATGGTGTCTTGGCGTTGGGAAAGGTGGAGGCTGGGTCTCGTCCTGGAGGCTAGGACATTTAGGAATGACAGAAGAGATACGCGAGGGATTAAGAGGGTTTAGATTCAAATACCTGGCGAAGATGACTCCAATAGGGATTGAGGAATTTACAGTTAAACTTGGGTGAGACATGTGGCAGTTGAAGGCCCCTATGATCATTGCTCACATTTTCCTTTGGGAACCCATTCAGGGTTGCAGCAGGAGATGTGGACACCCTGAACACCTGACCACAGATCCAAAATGATCCAAACCCATTCGCTGAACACCGGATCAAGCCTGGGCTGGACTCTTGTGCCAACCCAGCCCTGGCGGATGCCCAACGGGGAAATGTTTCTGTCTCCTGTCTCTTTCTTTAAGACCGACAAATGTGAGCAGTCTTAGCACCTTTGGAGCCCTTGCACATGTTGGGATCAACCTTTGGTTTCGCACAGCACGTGCCTTTTTCCCTGCACGAAGCATGAGAGATAAATGGCCTCTTAGATCAACCACGCCTTGGAGTCCGATGGAAGGCGGCGCGTGGCGCGGTGGGGATGGGTCGGCGGACTGTCCAGGGCGGTCGTGGCACTGGTGTTCGGTTTCTCCATGTGGATCGAAAGGATTACAATGGATTACAGATTACAGGATGTTGATGGAGTTTGCGGGAATCAAGAAGCTTGGAACATCACAGGACACACAAATCATGAGGCTTTTTTGTGCGTGCATTGATTGAGTTTTCGCAAGCACAAATCAGGCAGAAGCCTTTTTGCACTGCATGCATACCGCATACCGCATAAGCGTATATGTGTTTTTTTTTCTCACCCTTTTCTTCCAACTTGAGTTCTCACCCTTTATTCTCACCCTTTTTCTCACTCAGATGTTGTTTCGTTGGAAGATCGGCTTTTCGGGTTTGGTAGACCTGCTCTCCATTCGAGAGCAGTTGGAGAACTCGACTTGTTTTTTGCGGCGCTCGGGGCACCAGCTCCAGTCGTCCCAAGCGCTGCGCATCAGTGATAGGTGTGGTATGTGGGGTGATAGCCTAGCCGCGATAGGTGAGGTACAATGGTTTGGTGTGATTCCGGTGTGTTATGATGAAAATGAGTGCAGGGATGGGCTGGATGCTCCGGCCATTGTTGAGCTGTGAGAAACACTAGGGTGAACCTGACCCAGCTGGCCAGAACCTGCCCCTTGGCTGGCTATAGCCGAAAATCTCAAACAAAGATAACAAAGTAGGCAGCTTATATTTTGCTCATTTTTCCTGTCCCTCAGACAGAAAGCGACGTCGCTGCCCCAGGCCCAACTGCGCTCATGTCTTCGTGGGAGTTTGCACACTCAGAGCGGACCTGGAAGGGCGGGAGCTCAGGATGTGTAACGGCGCCAGAAAACAGGGTGCACTGACTCCTCTTCTCAAAAAACTGACAAATCGACCCTGTGAACTGAGGGAATTCAACATCCCATGATGTATGTCTTTTTTCCACCTGGCCAGCCTCCACATGCGTCGAGGATGTGATGCTCTTTCGGGCGACAGCTCCAATTCGAGCAGGAGAAGAAGTCTTGGACCGCTGGGAGCCCCGGAGACAAAGCAGAAGGAATTATTGATATTGCTTGATTACTAAATTCATGCACTCCCGAAAACGAAACATGGACCCTGAAAACCACAGGTTGGTAGAGGAAAACCATTTTTCAGGGGGGCCAGGTTGTGTGGGTCTATGTGAGTTTTCGGCAGTGTTCACATGTGTTGTCGTCCAGGGAACCCATTACTTAACCTTTTAGTAAATGCCTTAGACAGGTTTTAGTTGTTTGATCATGTGGCCAAGCATCGCTGTACATGGCCAATTATGACCAATATCATATGGATTGCTGAACTTTATGTACTGCAACTGTCATATCAATAACAAATATATAAACAAGTAATTGCGGTACATCTATTATTTTGTGCAGGTGTTTTGCCACTGAAGTTCATCGGATACTGATATATTAATATATAGCTGTGTACGCTATCACTGATAAATACCTTTGATGTGCCCGGACATGAACTGATGAATGCAGGGTATTACAGCACCATTCATCAACATGTGGTTGCTTTGCAGTTTGTTCGGAGCAGATGATGACGCAAACTCTACCACACCTTTCGTCACCATTACACCAATGCTTTCATCCATGATTCCATTGTCATTACCCATCAACAAACCAAAGTAGAAATGAGTAGAACATCGGTAGGGGAAGACCATCCAACAAAAGGCCTCCGGCCATCCATGTCTTTTTCACCGCATTGTGGACATGCGCAGACGGTCACAGGCTACAGCACTCCTTTGGCCGATCACTTCGAGTTCACCCTACATACCTTGGCGGCGCATGGCATGAGGGATCCCGTCTATGAGGCGGTCATCCGGTGCCGTCTTGAGACCTCAGACGAACCAGCTCAAAGGCGCCGAGGTGTTCAAAGTGCCGACCGTATTCATGATATGTTTAGTAGACCTCTTGCGACTTGTTTGAGGCTCCAGGTGTGTTTTGAATGCCACCTTTGTGCGCAAAGCGGCCTCCACTGTCAGGGTTTGGCTGGCAGATCATGGCAGATCGATATTCTTTTCTTCGCGACAGGCGACCGCTGCCTCATGGCAGGCCTTGCAGGAAGGTTTTCATGGTATGGGACTTGGAGGGTTATGGACTGGGAGCTGATGGACGAGCTTTACAAGTGGTGAAGCACAACGAGAGACAAGTGTTCTTCGTGTTCTTCGGCCACGTGCATTTGGGTGGCCCCTATTTATCATAGTCATTTGGCATTTGGAGATAGATCGAAACTTCCTGGGCCAGTCTGGGGGGGTAGCTGATGCTTGTGCCAGAAGTTGCGTTTTTTCTTTGCACTAGGTAATGTTGAATTCTTGGAGTTTGTCTTTCAAAAGTTTCCATTTGACAATGCTTGGAATCTGTTTGCGAGTGGCCTAGCGTTGCGATTTACTTGTGATATAATCATTCTAAATTATATTAATAGAGGTACCTTTGGCAGATAGCTGCGGCTGCCTCCTGAGACTGGGTCCGCGCAGTCCTCAGGTGCTCCCCCACCACAGCTGCCAGCCGAGAAGAAGCCGCTAGCGGAGCGGCAGAGCATGACAGATGATGATCATACCGTGGAAAAGTAGGGCAGAGCTCAAGGAAGCCATCCTCAAACATAGACAGGTCATGAGACAAGAAAACACATAATTGTTGCTTGGTGTATATAATTATACGGTATATATATATATACACATGATTACATATGTCATACAATGTCTATTTACTTGATCACAAAGCAGGCTGAAAAGAACAAACTACGACGAGAAGGCTCAGAATCCACAAACATTCCGATTCCTGTATATATCCTCCACATTCCTCCACAAACTTTGTTTGGTTTCAACTCAAGTTTGAGCTACAACCAACTGCTACTCTGGCCCAGATGCGTTTAGGCGCCAAACTGGCTATGGTTCAAAAGCACACTAACCATTCTTTCTTTCAGTATGAGATTTGCAGGCTTTTGGCTAGGCCAACGGCCGCTTCAAACGTTTGAAGCACGCAGTTTCAGACTGGTGGCTCTTGGAAAGAACCCACCTCTTACCCAG